AAGCAGAAAGCAGTGGGAAGGAAAAGTGAGCAAGGTAACTCTCTTTAAATGGAAGGAATAGTTTATAAATTTTTTAAACTAAAAACGCCAGCTTTCCATATAGAGAGTAACTGGGTTCATGTCTATCTTGGTCAATAGTCTGGGAAAAACACCATCTTTGATTTTTATTTCAAAATCAAAGGCCATTATTGCTCTTGTTCTGAAGAACAGTTTTCATAGACTTGGCCCCTTCCCCCAATTTTATGAAATAGGTAGAGTGAGAATACTGCTAACTAAAAAAGACATCATCTTGTAAAATCACCTCACCATTCATGGCAATTTAAACTTTGGAAAACCTTTTCACATATTGCCAATAGGAGTCCAGTGAAGGGGACTGCCAGTAAGTATTTTGAATGGGAATGAGTCACCTGAGTACATGGTAAAAGACTTCACATTCCAGACACTAAATAAGCTAAGCAAGCACTACTAAGACAATAGAACTTGTGCCCTCCAAAGGTGTTAAACTCCCTTCCCAAAATACTGAATTTATATATAAACTGCTCTGGTCTCACCTACTCTGAGATAACAAAATCCCTGGGCAATTCTAAACACATAGATGGAAGTTGAAATGTCAGGCAGAGAAGTAAGAGGCACAGTAAAACCCTGTGAAGACTGCTAGGACATAGCACCAAATAGACCAAGCTGGCTTCAAAGAATCAAAGAATGAAAATTCCTTAGAAGAGTGACCAGCTGTGCAAAGAGGAACATTAGCAGAACTATACATATACCTATGTGATCCAAAAAAAGCATTCACACTGTGAAAGACTTTACAAAAAAAGAGAATTGCATATTGTGTATATACACATACGCATACACAATTATCATTATTTGCCTCTGCATTTAATGAGCATCTGAAGTTAGGGATCACACTTTAGTCCTTTTTTTCATGTCTGGCATCTTTAGTTGAATACATTTGCTAAAAATTAAATAAAGTGTTAGGTAAGTGTATAGAGCTTCTTAATCAATCAGTGAATAATCCCAGATTTTTAACATTTTATATAAACAGTTTCTTTTCCATGTTCTCAATTGTCAGCTTTTGTTTTACTTTAAACAATGCAGAACTTCTACAACCTCATGTTTTAACTCCTGGTTTGTCTAGTTGAAGAGTTTGAAGATTTACTCTCTCCGGACCACGACCATGAATTTTACAATAAATAATTGCCATCCTTAAGCATTTCTTCACCCTTTCACAGAAAGATGGGTCCACATATATTACCTCCTTATAAATGGAGGTAATTTATAAGCTCAAATGAATGCAATACTATATTTAGAGCATAAGCCTAAACTGAAATATTTTTAAAATCATGTTTTCATCACCATTCTATTTACATGTTACATCTTACACTTCCCATGTAAGCATTTATATATTTTTAACAAAATCAATAAAAACATATGTGCATGATCCACAGAATACGAAATTTTGTGTTTGTTATTCCCATGTATGTGTTAATACTGTTACTATATATGCATGCATCCACCATATACGGCAGTTCTTTTCATTTATTAAAAATACTTATATAAATATTATCTCATACCCCATGCAATGCACTTCTGTTTCACTGAACATGATTTGGAGTTTTAGCCATGTTGATTCACGTAAAGCTAGTATACTTGTTTGCACCACTGTATTTATTACATGATTACAACATAATTACATCAATCTAGTATTGTGTTTATGAGCATTCAGTTTTCTCGTTTCTCAGTATTAAAAGAAAAGGAAAACTGTAGTGGACAATACATGCTTTCTCGCGAGTGTGTGACTTTCAATGGAAGTGTTGAATATCAAGTAAGTACATCTTCAAGTTTAACACAAATTTCTAAATGGTTTATTAAACATTCCAAATTTTGTATTGGTGGTACCATTTATACTGCAAACAACAGTGAATGCATATTCTCATTTCTACAAATAGTCACCAGTATCACTATTGTCAGACGGTTCAAATGTTGCCAGTTTCCTGTGTGTGAAATGGTATTTTAGCTTAATATTTACTTAACTGATTATTACTGAAGTAAGCAACTTTTTATGTTGATTGGCCCCTTATGTTTTTGCCTATTCATAAACTTGGCCTATTTTGAAGAGACGAGGTGCCAATTTTATTTTTCCTATTTATTTGAATAAATTATTTTTTATTCTGGATACTACTTCCCTTCTGTGACAAGTGTTGTCAATATTCTTCCCCACTCAATGGCTTGTTTTTACTTTTGTTTATTGAGCCTTTCATTGAGCAGAAGTTTTAAATTTCCAAGTGATAAATGAGTTAAGAATTTTTTATGGGTTGCATTTTCTGTACTATGTTTAAAATTTTTTTCTTACTCTTCTAAACATTTTAACATTTGGCTTTAATTATCTAGATCTTTAGTCTATCTGAAATAATTTTCTGAGTGATGTAACTTTGGAACATATTTCAATTACTTCTTAAGTAAGTAGCTGATTTCCCTAGGTCCATCCTGCTTATATATATTGCTTCTACATTTCTGGTGCTGAGGGTGGAGGGATGGGGGACAAAGAAGCAAAGTTCTAAGCTCTAGGCAAAGTACAATAATTTTGCCCATTCAGGCGCCATCAGAATTTTCTTCAAATTAAGGGATATACTCTGAAGCCACTGCCATGGATGGCAAAGGTCTGTCCTAGGGTAGAAAGTGACAATTCAGGAGTTATGCCTGGGGCAAGGGTCAGATAAACCACATCTGTCTAGGACTGAGAAGTTAGTTTGTTTGACCAGCCTCAGTGTGCAAAAGCTGGTGTGAAGAGTGCTCATGGCGCCTGGAACAGTGGGGTGGGTACAGGGTGGAGGAATTGCACCTGTCTGCAGCGAGCGCGTGAGGTCCTGGGGCAGTCTGCGCTAAGCAGTCAGTGACAGGAGATGATTTTGAGGGGGGTGTAGTCCCTTCCAATATTCCCCAAACCTTCAAGTCAGCTTTCTTTAGAACTACCCTTCTCAGTTATGCCATTGAAAAAATAGGTAAATCCTCCAAACCCATACTTGGGTGTAAACATTACAGGGAGAAAGCAAAGATACCATCTTCCCCCCAGAGTGGGCAGAAATGACAGATGCTATTAGACAACCAATGATCCTGGTAAAGTCAAGGACAAGGTCAGCTGCTGATATGCATGTATGTTGGCAAGATGGAGATGTCAAAGTGGGAGAAACACAATGGCTTGTTGGAACGCATTTGAGATGTTGCCCTTGGAGATGCCTCGGACACACTTTGACAGTGGTCCTCGGGAGAGAGTTAGGAAATAATTTCCTGTCGGAATCTGGTGCTATAAATGTGTCAGTTTAAAAAAATGAATTAAGGTCTTATTTGATGGGGCTTGGATCTTAGAGATTAAACAAATGTGAGAAGACTGAACAGATTTTCAGTCTGAGATGTACGCAACAAGATAAAAATAAAAAATATAAGCAGAGATACCAGAAGTACTACCCATACTAGGAAATCCCAGGCACTTCTTTTTGCTAAAGCTTTTCCTGCCCTCGCACTAGATCCATTCATTTAATCATTAATTAATTTCCACAATGACTGAACAATCATTATTGATTTTCTGCTGTGTTCCTGAAACAGAGCTGGACAGACCAGGTCCTGAATCTGTGGAGCCTGGAGGGAGCAGAGAAGTTCTCGTTAAAATAATGAATGAAAGCAGGCACTGGGGCAGGAATGAAGGATGTGATCAAGAGTCCATCAAATGAGAACTGACCCATGCAGTAAATTTAGAAATAAGCGTCAGTACAAAGCCTGAAAAAGATAAAATTATGATTTGTAAAGGCATCAGCAACTCAGAAGTACTTTTACTAAGTTCCACTAATATGAGCATTTTGGAACTCAATCATCTTACTTTTCTGGAAAATCCATTCATACAACAACATGCTTCTGTCCACAAGGGTAGCAGGCAATGGTGTTTAATGTATGTGGGCAGTTTACTATTGGTGGGGTCTGATCATCAGATTGAATTCAGGTAAACTATTCTCTGTAAACAATGTGATGAAAGAGGGAAGGATACCTATACACATTTACGATTTTTTATTTATTTAGGTTTTCTCTGTGTTAGAAATGTGTGTCACAGAGAGTCAGTTGTCTGCATCCTGCATTTTATTGTTTTCCAAAGAGAAAACCAGTGGTGTGTTCCACACAATTTGTTTTTATAGCCTGTTAAGCCATAAAACAACTCCTTTTCAGCTATTTCTGATTCAAGGTATACACAGCACAGTGGTTTTTTTTGTTCATTTAAAGTATGAATCTGAGAATTTGTGAAGTGTCCTGTGTGAATCTGAAAAATCATATTGTGCATCCACCCCTCTGGAGGCCTGGGATCTCTGTAGATTTTATAGCCTGATGAATAATTCTGCATACAATAAAACCCCCAAAGACTTCTTTTGCCTCTCCAAAAGGGTTCTGATTTCTTACTCTGTCATGTGGATTGGTATCACATCTGAACTACAGGCTTACCTAGAAAAGAAGATAGAGAATGGCAATGTGGAAAATGTAAATGCCTTTACAAATTTTGGTGCAAGATTTTTTCTTTGAAGAGCACTTGGGACCAGACACATTGCATCCCAGTTGCATCATTCAGTGGATCACGTTCCTAGGTCTTCATCTTCATGATGTTACCAAGAACCCCAAGGGAAGCCATATGTACTTGTGTGTAGCAAGATATCTAATTTGTGTAACTCTGGGTGTTTTTTTTTGCTTTATATACAATGCCTTTAAGGATTTAATTCATCTGGTTTAACACTGATGCATGTATCTATATATTATCAACTGCTCTATAGTCATAATGAGTTTTGTGAGTTGTTTCCAGCTAATTTAAGGCATTTGTTAATATAAGTTACTTTGATATAATATTTTATACACTGTGTTGCTTCTGATTACATTTCATAAAATAAATTATTAAGGCTAAGCAAATACATATAATTAAGAATAATTCATCTTTACATATTAAATGGCAAAGAAAGTTATTCCTATTTTGCTTTTATACTTTTCTTATTTTATTCTTGTCCATGTTTCTAAAAATACATAAAAGGCAAACATAACCTGTACAAAAAGCCCAGTAGTTCCCCAGTTATTATGCCTCAGAGCATAGTAACATTGAAGATTAGCATTTTACAATACAGTGTGTTAAAATGGAAGTACCAAATCATGTGTGCTTAGTGTTAAAAAAAAGAAGAGGTTAGAAAGGTACAATTCTTTAGATAAGATCAAATTCAAGGAGTTCATCATCACCAAGCCCTTATTATATGAAATGTTAAAGGGACTTATCTAAGAAAAAGAAATTTAAAAAACATGAACAGTGAAAGGACAGCACACTCACAGTTATTAACAACCACACCTAAAACAAAAGCAAACTAAAAGGACAACTAGATCAGGAGCAGAAACATAGAAATGAAGATCTCAAGGAGGGTTAGCAATAGGGGAGTGGGAGGAGGAGAAAGGGAGAGAAGGTACAGAAAATAAGTAGCATAGACAGTAGATAGAAAATTGATGGGGGGCAAGAATAGTATGGGAAATATAGAATCTAAAGAACTTGAGACACATGGTCATAAACTAAAGGGGGGGTAATGATGGGGACGGGGGGTAGGGTGGAGGGGAATGAAGAGGGGAATAGAACTGTAATGGCATAATCAATTAAAAAATAAATTAAAAAAAAAGAAAATACCAGATAATCAGAAACCAAGATTCTTGTAGTGTTCTAGTCATTTCCATTGTTGTTGAATACACAGAAGATTTGGCAGTTTCTTACAGAAAAAAAGGCAAACATAGTTTTTGTTTAACATACTGTCAGGGTCATAATAATTCCAAAAGTTTTCACACACACACACAAAGTCAAGCAATCCCATTCACTTATTCCCAAGGATAATGCTGAGTTTATTTGTATTTGAAAAGAAATGCATCCAAACTGTTTAACTTCTCTGCTTTCATTGATGCAGCCTGGTCACCATGGTCATTATGTAGAGCCACCCCTCCCTAACTGCTCTCCCATTTGAATTGGACCCCAAATATGCTTTCATGCACCAGCTTGATTTCCAAGTCCTGTTAATGCAAGTCCTCTTAAAGCCTCAATCTGAAATACGTGGTTTTTCACTGTCTATTTTATGTTCCCTATGTGACTTAGCTCATTAACAAATTCAAGTAAAGAAGCACACTCGTAATGCTGGGTACCACACTGGAAAATATTTTTAAATAATCGAAATCTTTCTCTTCATGTCATCCTGGGCTGCATTGTGCCCCTCTCCCATGCCCAAAATTCATGTTGAAGTACTAACCCTCAGTACCTCGGAGTAAAATTGTATTTCATTAAAGGTTAGGTCTTTGAAGAGTTAACTTACAATGAAGCCGATAGGATGAGGCTCGATATAATATGACTGGTGTCCTTATGAGATAAAGGAGAGACACAAGGGGTTTGTGCACACAAAGATAAGACCATGTCAGGGCCTGACAAGAAGACAACCATCTACAAAAGAAGAGAGGCCTTTAGAGAAACCAACCCTGCGGACACCCTGATCTTGAGAAAATAAATTTCTGTTGTTCAAGCCACCCAGACTGTAGTATTTTGTTATGGCAGCCCTAGCAGGCTAATACACATGTAATAGGTGCCAAAAGCAATTGGTAGCATTATAAAAACTCCACTTTGCCTTGATGTTAAATTCTTAATACAGAAAATGTAAGAGGCAATATAAAAATGGATTTTGAAGACATTCCCCCTCATGTCCTTTTCTCTGCTTCTCTAAAACCAGCTCAGCAAATCGATTACCACTGAAATGTTCTCTGCTCTTCTAGGCCACTCTTGCTCCCTTCTCTGGAAATCTTGAGCACCAATTTCCCAGACTACTGGAAAATATATAATATTTGACATCAGAACCTTGTTCTCATTCTGAACTCTACCTTCAAAACCAATGTTAATATACCTGTTCATTTGAAGTTGGTGTAAAGGAAGGTAGACAGAGCCTTCTTACCTACTTGTTCAATCCACCACACATCTTTCTCCTCCTTTCATGTTCACTGTGACGCATGGGACCCCACCACATGAGACATAGGGTTACAATCCCTGAATCACATCACACTTTATTATCTTAAAATATCCTTATAGGCAGATCTCTCATATTAGAACTGAAGCTATATCACATACTTTAAAAAACACTTTCTATATTAGGATGATAGACAAAGAATTGAACTAATAGCATGGCTTAGGGTACAATTTTTAAATTGCTTATTAAATGAATTTGAATCACATAACTTTTCTGACTTAAATCAGAAACCCACCTCCAGCTGAGAACCTAAGAGGTGCCAGAGGGGGAGCGGGGCTCTGCCAGGAGCTGGTAGGGCATGGGCTTCATGGCCAATGCATATATGGGCTTCAGGTCCAGCTCAGCGCCAGGGCATTTTTTCAGCTTGAGCTGTTGCAGAACTGTGACGATGAAAATGAATATCTCATTTCTTGCAACGTCTTCTCCGAGACACTTCCGGATTCCCATTCCAAATATCAGAACCTTGTCAACAAGACTTTTATTCAGTTCCTTGTTTTCATTTAGGAATCTCTCAGGACTAAATAAACTAGGATTATCCCAGATAGTTCTGTGTAAAATAGACAAAAGTTACATTTTAAAAAGAAATCATTTGATCCTTTTGCCATTCTTGCCAACTTCTGCACAATAATTTTTTTGCATGACATGCTTTGTTCAAGTTTGGAATATACTTTAGAAATGTTATATAATATGCACGTGTAAATATTCATACATATATACACATATGTATATATAAAATTATGTAGGTATATCATTATTATGAATGTATGCATATAAAATTCTTTAATTTATTGGCATTTTTAGAAGCCATAAATAATTACTACAATTATTTTTAGTTTTCACTAAAATAATTTCTAATTCATTAAATAGTGAATAAAATCCTTAAAAATTTATTTCCATTTTTTATTATATAAAATGAAGAGTTCTACAAAATTCACCTATGAATATTTCATAGTTTTGGTATAAATAAAAAAATAAATATTCAATCTTCTTTACTTTAAACACAATAAGCATACTTCTCACTCTGGTATAATTAATTATATTGAGTAGAAGGTCTTCATACATCATCACAGACACCATCCAGGTGACCAGAAAGCAGTTCTGGCTGAGGGGCTGCCCACAGCTCCAAGCCTGTCCTGCATCTGGCTCTCTCTTCTCCTCCCACCTTCTGGTTCAGGCTCCAAATCTGGCTTTCCCATGAGAATTCATGCTAGCATGCTTCCAATACACCCTAAGGCATACATTGGACACCTAGTTGACTTTACCAAGAACTGGGCTTTTTTGTGTATCAATGTCACTCTCTTTCTAGAATATTTGTTTTCTTTCTTCACCAAAGTCACAGGTCTGGAGATCTATAAGTCGTATTCAGTCTTTCAATAAATTTTGTTTTGCTCTCACAATCTTTTAAAAGTAATTCATTGTCTCTAACATTTAAACATCAGAGGAGTCCACCTGAAAACTTCCATTTCCAAGTTCTATCTTACAACTGAAAGAGCTGACAACACTGGGACAATGTCCTGCTTGCCCTCCGTTTCCTGTGCTGAATTACACACAACAGATGACCCCCTTCACAGTGCTTCAACAAGGGCAATTCTCTCGTCTTTGGTATTTCCCACTGCTCAGGAAGTGCTTAAGTTAGCGACCTCTGTTTCACTAAAGAGGACTAATTTCCCCATTATATCAAGTCTTGAATCCCATACTCATTTACCTTAAACAAGTGCCTCTATACAAGCAATATTTCTTTATAAGCACCTGTGTTAACATGGTTTATTTGAGCATTATGCAATATTCAATATAATCATACATTCTTAGGATACTAGGACACTTAGGACACTTGAGGTAGTTCTGAGAACAAATGCCATTAAATTTACTCTGACTATATTTTTCTTATAGTGAGTTTTAAATGCTTGGTTTTATTCAGCATAATCACAAATTGTGAAGAGTGGAAGTAACTTGGCTCAGTGGATTGAGTGCCAAGCCTGGGAAGTAAAGGGTCACCAGTTCAATTCCCAGTCAGGTCACATGCATGGGTTGCAGGCCAAGTCCCCCATAAAGGGCACATGAAAGGCAACCACACATTGATGTTTCTCTCCCTCTCTTTCTCCTTCCCTTTCCCCATGTCTAAAAATAAACAAATAAAATCTAAGAAAACAAGAATGTAGGTATCAATCTTTCTGACAATAAATGTTATGATGGGTCAGACTGTGCAGTGCAGGCCACCATTTTGCTGGTTGTGAAGGTGCTGTTAGGTACACAGGACAATCACCTCTCTCCCAAACAGCCTGGAGCATGAGACATCAGTCAGAGGAACAGCCCACTGAGTGCACAAGAATGCAATTTCTGTCAGTTTCCTGGACACATCAAGCTCTGACCAGACCACATGGAGAATGAATTTCTGTCCAACAGGATATACGCACTGAATGTCAGTTCTGCTTTTGCCACTTACTGAACACGTGACCTTAGGCAATTTGTTTTACCTGGCTGAAAGTTCCTTCGTTTGTGAAATTGGTATCATGGTAGCACCACTGCAGAGGATTATTGTTGAGGCTCAGAGGTGACACTTTAAGATTCTGTACCCAACAAAGTAGGGTCTATAAATATTAGCTGACATCATCATTATTCCTACCACCACTATCACCACTGCCACCATCCTCACTTTTCCTGGGTGAGGTATTTTTATTTCAGTCTATTTATAGCTGATATGGATGAGACTCTAGTTATATTTTATTTGCAAATATTTATTGAGTGGCTACTATGTGCCAGGCACTGCCCTAGGTGTTGAGATAGAGGAAAACCAAACAAAAAGACAGAAATATATTCTGCTTCATCTTTCATATTCTTTGGGGGGATTTCATGATGCATTTAAAATTTCAGTGGCCCTAACCTATGCAGAGGGTGAGCCCCAAAAGTCCTTGGTCCACATCTCCCCCAGTAAGCCCACTTTTGAAATTAGATTTGCTCTGAATGAATCTATGTTAAGATGTTATTCTCATTGTCAGTGAGGAAAGAAACCTGAATTTTCTTCCAATTTATTTCAAGAGAAATAAAAGGAATAATATTTAGTTAAGAATGTGTATCTTCCCCTGATTAATAAGTAACAAACAACCAAACAAATTTAACCCCAAGAAATAATTTTGGTGACTTACTCATCATGATTTACTTGATACATGTTAATAAAGGTGCACGTTTTCCTGGGAATGAAATAACCATTCAGGGTAGTGTCTTCTGTGGTGCTGGGAAAGCAAAGTACATCATGATCATTTCAGCACATTCTGTGAATTCAAATAATCCATCCCTATTAATGTCTTTTTGGAAACTATAGTGATATGAAATCTTTATAAATCTTCATTGTTTCATTAACTAATACATCTTTCACCTATTGCCAAATTAGTAATTTGTGCCTTTTCTTGCATTTGTAAAACATATTGAGCACTTATCATATTTAAGACATTGCTATGAGTAAAAAATCTCAATGAAAAATTATCTCAATATTTCTATGACAAAGTTGCCCATAAGTAGACACATCAAATTATATCAGGAAACTGTAATGATATCGTTACTTTCTGTGTGCCTTGTGTGTTTTGGCTTTTATCAATAGATTAAGAAAACAAAACATGACATCTTTAGTATCTGGTAGAAGGAACAATGGAAGTGGAACTAGAAAATCTGAACTCCAGACACTGCTCACTGTGAACTGTTGGGCAAATCTCATATCTACTCTGTGATTTTATTTTCTAGCTATGAAATAATATTGTTTGTGTTGGATGATCTCTAAGTTGTCATTAGAACTCTATTTTTTTAGTGCCATACTCAAACTTCTTTATGCAAACTGTATACCTTTGTATTTTTATACCTCTTTAATTATGCATGGATTCGATTAAATCATGTTATATTCCCATGTGGCACTCCCTAAATTCCAAGCTGGCCCCCACATTTACTTCTGCCCCAAAGGAACAGCAAGGACATTTCTATTTGATGAGTTTGAGAGAAGAATCTGAAGACACTTGGCTTAGCCACTTCTGCATTCTTTCTTCTGATAAGCCAACCTGTAGAGAAGGTACATCTCATCTACCATCACTAATCAGATGAGCTTGGAGAAGCAGCTTTCATACTTCCATAGGAGACTACTGCTGTTTCAACTTGCCAGAGACCAAGTGGCAAAGTATGTCTAATTAAGGCGAGAAGTATAAGGAAGCCTACTTGACCCATCTCTAAGCCAAATTGTGTGAACTACCTCTGATCATTATGAAAGCTCATGTTTGAATTTCTATCTGATCTCTGCTCATCTTATAGCTAGTATTGAACTTTAGCAAATAATATGGACATTAGTTATTGGGTACCCTGAAAATCCAATAAAGGGGATGCCAGGAAAGGAATATATCAATTTTGGAGGAAAGATGACCTCCTCCTAGCACGGTCACTTGCTTGTTTCAATACATCCTTGTCCACATGGTCTCTGTGTATTCAGCTGCTCCAATTCTGTTCTATGTCAAAAGTTTCATGCTCCTACTTTATGGAAACTTAGCATGTAAAATTTTATTTCATTTATTGAATATGAGTATTTTAATGGAGAATTCAATATATAAAATCATTAATTGTAGGATTTTTCTCTCTCTCTCCATATATATTCCTGAAACTTTTGTATGAAAGTGCATTTCCACATAACTATGGGAAACATACATGTAATATTAGGGTACTGTTTAGTCTTGTGTAGTGTGTGTTGTAGGTAATAGCAAAACTTTTGTCCCTTTTACTAATGATTATTTTTTTAGCTTCTTTTAATTTATTTTAATATATTTTCTGCTTTCTGATCCCATGTGTTTTTAAATGGAACACAGTAAAATTCCAGGTATAGAAAGACAATTTAGTCCCAAAGAACATACATGTCTTTTATGTGTGTGCAAAAATTCTTGTTTCATATCACACTACTCCCATTGGTCAATGAATTGTTCTTCTATATACTATTTCTTCATTTTTAGTAAAATAATGAACAGCTATGTTTTAAGATAAATTTTCCTATCAGATATGTCCTCAGATGCATTTTCTGGCCTCCAAAGTAAATGATCACTGTCATTTAATCCAAATGGTGCCTGTCAATTTTGCAGAGCCTCTCTGTTTCTGTTTATTTAGTAAAGCTTATAGGTCATACTGTTTTATGAGGAACCCATGTCACCTTATGAAAATCATTGGGACAGAAGAATGGCTTCTTTAAAAATAGGACCTGTTTTTAACACCTAACCTGAAGATGAAATTTACTTCAAACAGAAAGTGGGTCTGCAGGAAAGGGATCACTGGGAGTTAACAGCATTGTGAGTGAATATGGAAAACAAAGTAAGGAGACAAAATGCAGGGAAATGTTTTGCTCGGTGTCTAGCCTTGACTCTGCTGAGCCAGTGGTCTGGCTTTTTAGGACACCTCAGCTGAAGGCACCACTTCCTACTGCACCAATAATCAGGATTACCTCAGCTTCCCGGAGTAAGAGACATTCCCACTCCCTCACAGTTGAAAGGCTGGAAACAAAAAAGCACTGAGATTTTCATTTTTTATTTTAATTGTATAGAATGGAAATAGTTCAAAGTACCAGAACTTTGATTGCTCACATTTATATTTAATAAAGCTTAATCTATATTGACATGCATTTGTGAGCTGGAGAGTCTGGTATAAGGTTCAATAAAATTTCAAATATTTATAAATAGAAACTCTGTTTAATCTATTTGTGGTAACACTGTCCTCCTTAGTGGACTGACCAACAGAATTCTAAGCTACTGAAAAGGATGCCACATCAGCAGGTGGCTAAAACTCTTCATAGGAGGAAGTTAAGTGAGTCTGTAAGACATTTCATAGCCAAAAATGTATTATGGCCATGTTATCCATCTTCTGGAACTTCCATATCCTTTTCTCCCCTTAATTAATATATGTAAGATAAAAATTAATGCTATCAAAATTTAGTTATGAAAACAGTCACAAAATATGCTGCTGTACTCTGTAAAAATTTCATTAGACAATTTCAAAATAAAATAAAATAAGATTTAAAATAATAAATAATACTAACATATTATATATTTTAAAGAACCTAGAGTATTTGAATGCCTTAGGCTCCTCATTCCCCTCCACCCACACTTGACTGCCTTTCAAAGGAGAATCACAAGCTTACCAATGTGGAATAGTAAAAGGGACGAAGGAGGCATGTCTGAATATTTCATTTATGAAAGCTTCTGTGTAGGGTAAACTTTTCCTGTCTTCAAATCTGGGTGATTTAAGCCCAATGTTTGCATCTGAAAGAGAAGTTTTTTTTATTTAATAAAAAAATGACAATTATAAGGATTATATTTTTCATCCGAAAGCATCTTACCAATTTCTTCTTGAATTCTGGTTTGAATTTCTGGATAGTATATCAAATAAAGAAAGCTCCAATGCAAACAAGTTGATACACTTTCAAAACCTGAAAAAAAAAATGAGACAAAATGTCATGGAGAAAATCATTAGCAAAATTGGTATTCTCATTTACTTCATATTTGAATACTATGAATCCAGGGAAAAGATTCTAAATATAACTAATAATTAGTAAACTCACAGTAAAATAATCACTATGTATTAAAGTTTGTTTTAGAATATAGGCTTAACTACTCACCCCTTAGGATAGTCACTATCAAGAGGACAGAAAACAGTAAATGTTGGTGAGGATGTACAGGATTGGAATTTTTATGCATTGCTAGTCTCTAGTTAAACTGGTGTAGTCACTATGGAAAACAGTATAAAAGTTCCTCAAAAAAATTAACGGGAATTATCATATAATCCAAAAGTCTCACTTCTGTGCATAGCAGATCCCAAATAATTGAAAGCTGGGTCTCACAGAGATATTTGCACACCCAAGTACTTTGCAGCAATATTCACAACAGCTAAGAGGTGAAAACAACCCCGATGTCCATTGATGGATGCATGGATAAGCAAAACATGGTATCTACATGCAATAGAATATTATGTAGTCTTAAAAAAAAGGAGGTCCTGTCACTTGCTACAACATGTATGCACTCAAAGACATTATGTTAAATGAAACAAGTCAGTCACAAAAAGAAAAGTGCTATATGATTTCACTCATATGAGGCATCTAAAGCAGTCAAATAATAGAAACAGAAATTAAAAAATAGTTGCTAGGGCTAGGGGAAAGAGAGGGGATAATTGGTGTTTAGTAGACATAGAGTTCAGTTTTACAAGATAAAAAAAAAAAAGACTAGAGACTTCTGTTGAAGATGGAGGTGCAGGTAAACACTCTTTTCCTCTTTTAACACCTGCAGAAAAAATTACAACTAGATCTTAAAACAACACCCAGAACCATCAGAAAATCAAGCTGTGTGGAACTTTAACAACCAAGGATTTAAAGAAGCCACATTCATCCAGATGGGTAGGAGAGGTGGAGACATGATACGGCCCAGAGAGGCAGCAGAAGAGGTGGTCCCACATTCACATGTGGTGGACAAAAATCAGGAAGGATACCTCGGGACTGAGGGATCCCAGCCCTAGGCAAGACCACATAGCCTAGGTTTCCAGAGCCAGGAAGATGAATCCCCATAATTTCTGGCTGTAAAAACCAGTGGAGATGGGGGCAGCAGAAGAAACTGCCACACTTTCAGGAGACTCCACTTAAAGGGCCCTTGTGGACTTATAAATTACACAGACTCACTGCTCTGGGATTCAGCACCAGGAAAACAGCTAGAAGGACACCAGTCACAAATGGGCAGTAAGTGAAGTCATTAGAAACAGGGTAAGTTCCAAGCAAACCTCCAGGAGCCAGGCAACAGTACTGTCCCCTCTCTAAGCTCTCTACCCACACAGAACTACAAAGCAGTGAAGCGGGATATGAGACCCTGGCAATTACCTAAGGCTTACCCCACACAATTTGCAAGTGCATTTTCTACAGTAGTCCACACTACAATAGGGAGTGACAGCAGCTCTACCTGATACACAGAAACAAACACAGAGAGGCTGCTAAATTAAGGAGACAAAGAAATATGGCCCAAATGAAAGAAAAGAACAAAACTGCAGAAAAAGAACTCATTGAGTATGGCAACAACATAAAAAGAAAGGATGAACTGAAGGTTACATTAAGTGAAATAAAGAAAAATCTATGGGGAACCAACAGTGGAGTGGATGAAGCCAAAATACAAATCAATGATTTTGTACATAAGAAAGAAATAAGCATTCAACCAGAACAGCAAGAAGAGAAAATAGTTTTTTTTTTAAATGAGGACAGTATAAGGAGCCTCTAGGACATCTCCAAATGTACCAACATTCAAACCATATAGGTGACTGAAGGAGAAGAGGAAGAGAAAAAATTGAAACCTTATTTGAAAAAATAACAAAAGAAAACTTTCCTAGGTTGGTATAGGAAATAGACATACAAGTCCAGGAAGCACAGAGAGTCCCAATCAAGTTGGACCCAAAGAGGACCACACCGAGACACATCATAATTAAAATGCCAAAGGATAAAGATAAACAGAGAATCTTAAAAGCAGAAAGAGAAAAGCAGAGAATTACTTACAAAGGAGTTTCCATAAGAATTCCAGCTGATTTCTCAAAAGAAACTTTGCAGGCAAGAAGGGGCTGGCAAGAACTATTCAAGGTGATGAGTAACAAGGACCCACAACCTAGATTATTCTATCCTGCAAAGCTATCATTTAGAATGGAGGGACATATAAAGTGCTTCTCAGACAAGGTAAACTTAAAGGAGTTCATCATCACTGCGCCCATTATTACATGAAATGTTAAAGGGACTTATTTAAGAAAAAGAAGAAGGTCAAAACTATGAACATTAAAATGGCAACAAATTCACGACTATCAACTGAATTTAAAAAACAAACAACCAGAGCAGGAACAGAATCATAGATATGGAGATCATTTGGAGAGTTATTAGCTGGGAGGGGGAAGGGGAAGAAGAGGGGAAATAGTGCAGAGATTAAAAAGCATAATTGGTAGGTACCAAATATGTGGCAGACCCTGGCCAGCAGAGTCCGCCTGTCGTGGCTTACATCAAGAATGAATGCACAGGCGACAACAATCCTGTGTGGGAAAAGGGAACAGGCATGACTACTCTCTCAAGGGGAGAGTGCCTATGGGTGCCTCAGTCACTCCCTCAAGAGGGAAGCATCCCGACCCTTGCCTAGACAGGCTTTTATTGTTTTCCTGGGGTCTTACATCATAGAAAGATTTATTATCTGTTACATAGAATATTATTGTCTACATTTTAGGTACAATCAAGAAAATGAAAATAACATGCAGAGGGGCAATGAACTCATTAGCTCTGTCTTTGGGAGAACTCATACAGGCTTTGGAAATTACCTTGAAGATAGACAATACACATTTGTTGTTTTAGACCAGGGTGATGGAGTTTTAGCAAGAGCAAGCCATAACAATCTGTATGCATTTTCTAGGCCTGATTCCCAAGGGAAAACTCAGTTTGAAGGTCTGGCTCCTGCCCACCACTTTACTTCTGTAGGTTTTCCATACAGAGCTGAGTCACATTTGCCAGGCCAAGACCAACTGGTCCCCTACACAAATACACTGGGGGATGTTAAGAATAGTATAGAAAATGGAGAAGCCAAAGAACTTAAAGGCGTAACTTATGGACATGAACTAAGGGAGGGATTCCTAGAAAGGATGCTGGTACTGGTGAAGAGGGAAAAAAGAAAAAAATTGGGACAACTGTAATAGCATAATCAATAAAATATATTTTTTAAAAAGAAAAGGAAAATAGACTAGAAATCTGTTACACAACAATGTAAATATACATAATATCACTAAACTGTATAATTAAAATGTTTAATGTAGTAAATTTAATGTTTATGAATTTAAAACCACTACAAAATAAATTAAAATTAAAAATATATAGTTAGTATTTATGACAAGTGAAAACAATGGAGATATTCCATTATATCATGTTAATAATTGCTATGATCTATGTAGCAATAATAATTATAATTTATAAGTGACCACTGAGTGATTACTCAGTTCCATACTATATACCTATATATCTATAGATCTATATAGGGTGTACATAATTATGCTTATTTTACTGAAGATAAAAATGTGCTTTAAAGACATTATGTGCCTTGTAGAAGGTGACTCAGAGAAGAGGCAGAGTCAGCACTTAAACTTGAACTTATCAGGATCAAAAAGTCCTATGTTTGAATTAGCATAGCACATAATGGAGGACTGAGTACATTCAATTTTTTAATACTAATTTTTAGTGTACTTGTTGTTATGGTTTAAATTCATTCTTTGAACAGGGTATCATCACTTTTGAGATTATTTATACATTGACTAAATCCTTTTCATTATTGAAAATAAAAGAAAGAAAAAATGTCACATATCATTTTTTTCTCAAGAGCAATTTTAACACTATGTCAAAAATAAGATCACTTCTCAAAAACTTAATACTCAAAAATGCCACATTAAAAAGGTTTTCTAGACTGTTTCAATTATGAATTCACCTTTATGATAACCAAATGTCAAAATTAATGATAGTATTTGTGTTTTCTAGAAAATAAAATCTAGTAGCAGAATTAGTGTTTAAATCAACATATCTTTTTCATTTTTAATTTTATCTTACATTTTTCATTATTATTATATTACAGTTGTCCCAATTTTTGCCCCTGTGCCCTGCTCTACCCAGCACATCTTTTTTCCAGGTTTCTACGGTGATGATAACAATAATGACATCAAACTTTAATCACTTGATTGCATTGTTATTGAAATGGGTCTATAATTCATCTCATTTTAAAGACAAGAAACTAGCAGCAAAGATATGGTTAAATATTTCACCAGGGCCACAAAGAGATAAAACTAACACCCAAAATCAAGCCTGTGTGCTCTGGAGCATTGAGACTTAACTATTTGTTTCTTCTCTAAACAACTTGCAAAACAACATGAACAAGAAATACACCCAGATATAGCTGCAGGGCAGAGGAAACTTCTTTCCAAGTCTCTCTTCTCAAGACCTGGTTTTCAGATCTCACCAAAAAATTATGCATCCTAATAAGTGAATTTGGTAAAACAGTGGGATATGAAATCAATATTCAGAAATCAAAAGCATTTTTGTACACCAACAATGAAATATAAACAGAAATCAGAAAAAAATCCCATTTAAAATAGCAACAAGAAAAATAAAGTACCTAGGAATAAACTTAACCAAAGAGGTAAAATATTTGTACTCAGAAAACTACACAACACTGAAGAAAGAAATTAAGGAAAATATAAATAAATGGAAGCATATACCATGTTCATGGATTGGAAAAATTAACATAATCAAAATGTCCATACTACCCAAAGCAATTTATAGATTCAAGGCAATCCCTATTAAAATACCAATGACATATTTCACAGATATAGAACAAACATTTCAAAAATTTATATGGAACTATAAACAAACTGAATAGCTGCAGCAATTTTGAAAAAAGAATAAAGTAGAAAGGATCACAATACCTGACATCAAACTATAGTACAAGGTCACTGTACCAAAACAGTCTGGTACTGGCACAAGAACAGACACATAGATCAATGGAACAGAATAGAGAGCCCAGAAATAAGCCCATGTTTCTACAGTCAATTAATATTCAACAAAGGGAGATGCAGCAAAAAATGGAGTAAAAAATAGCTTCTTCAACAAATGGTGTTGGGAGAGCTGGACAGCTACATGCAATAAAATGATATCTAACCACCAACTTACACCATGCACACAAATAAACTCAAGATAGATAAAAGACTTAAACATAAGTCACAACACCATGAAAGTCCTAGAGGAGAGCATAGACAGGAAAATCTCATATATTCCATGCAGCAATATTTTCACTAATATGTCCCCTAGAACAAGGAACAGAAAGAAAGGAGTAAACAAATGAAACTTCATCAAAATAAAAAGCCTCTTCATGGCTAAATAAAACATGTGCAAAGTGAATAGGAAACCAACCAAGTGGGGAAATATATTTGCAAATGATACCTCAGACAAGGGTTTGATTTCCCAAATATATAAAGAACTTATATGACTCCACTCCAGGAAGACAAACAACTGATTAAAAAATAAAATAGGCAAAGGACCTGAACAGACACTTCTCCAAGGAGGACATACAGAGGGCCCATAGGCATATGAAAGGATGCTCACTGTCACTAGCCATCAGAGAGATGCAAATTAAAACCACCATGAGATACCACTTCACACTAGTCACAATGGCCATCATAAACAAATCAGAAAAGAAGTGCTGGCGAGGTTGTGGAGAAAAGTGAACCCTAGTATATTGTTGGTGGGAATGCAGACTGGTGCAGCCACTATGAAAAACAGTATGGAATTTCCTCAAAAAACTAAAAATGGAACTGCCTTTTGATCCAGCAATTCCACAGCTGGGATTATACTGTAAGAATCCTGAAACACCAATTCAAAAACACTTGTGCACCCCAATATTCATAGCAGCACAATTTCATAGCAGCAATACAATAGCCAAGTGCTGGAAGCAATCTAAGTGCCCATCAGTAAATAACTGGATAAAAAAAACTATGGTATACTACTACACAACAGAAAGAAAGAAGGAGCTCCTACCCTTTGTGACAGTATGGATGGAACTGGAGAGCATTATGCTAAATGCAATAAGCCAGTTGATGAAAAACAAATACCATATTATCTCACCTATAAATGGAACCTAAGCAGAAAAATATATATAACCAGAGGCACTGAAATAAAGAACAAATTGACAGTAACCAGAGGATAGGATGAAAGGTCATGGCAGGGTAAAGAAGGGTAAGGATCATCAAGGAACATGTACAAAGAACCCATGGATAAAGCCAAAGGGGGGAATGATTGAGGGTAGAATGGGGGAAAGTGGGGGTGGGGGGATGGAGATGATTGTACTTGAACAACAATGAAAAAAAGTTAAAAAAATACAAAGAAAAAGTCAGTCTCTGAGTAAGCCAGTAGCTTCCACAGTTTACAAGCCACAAAATTTCCACCATGACTTTAAACTGTAAGAAATTATCCTAAAAGTAAGTTTTCCAAGTATGACCACACTAGAACACTGTATGGTGTGAAAATATTGACTTTTATTCAGAATATACTGACTCCGTTGTCTAGCAAAAGAGAAAGAACAAGCCATGAATACTGCATGAAAGACATTGATTTTGACCATTGTAGAGTCCTGGACATTTTATCCAAGACCTGGGACTACCTAGTTATGTAACAGAACTCATATTTTTATCATCATGAATTTTGCTTTATATTTCAAGGCTCAAGCAATATATTACCTATCTTGGTAGATTATCTAAAAATTGAGGTCATAACAAATGTTTGTGGAAGTTCCTGCTTATATCCAAAGGAGAAAAGAAATTATCTCTATGATCAATTTGAAAAGTCAAATATGGAAATACAAATGTTAATAATAAGGTAGAGCTGTTGAAACAGTGTGTTTGCAAATTTTATCTATTAAAATATGTGCTTTAGAGATCAACTTTTTTCTTCTAGTATTCTATTACATATCACTAGAGAACCAACACACATATGTGGAAGTTTATGTCCTATTAATTTTCTTCGTTACTCTTATTTTCATTCAAAATACAAACTTGATCAGATATATTTTTGAATGAATAAATGCATCACATACTAAAATATTATACTAAATGTGCTTTGTTTGGCACACATTATACAAACGATGTTTAACTGTGTTGTGCACATCTGGTGTTACTAATCTATATCACAGTCATTTCTGTCATTTGCCATAATTTTATATTTGTTGATTTTTTTCAGGATCTTGACAGTATTATGTATTTCTGAAATACATTATCTCAACAAATCAAGATGAAAATAAAGCCTACTTGATGTGTTAATCACACCCACACACACCCAGTCTTTAGTATTCATGGTGTTCAGGCTTTAAAAAATGATTCTCACAAAATGTAACAATAGTATTTAGCTTTAGATAATTGGCAGAAGAAATGGTAAGTACAGAGTGATCACATCTGCATGATACATAATGAGTGCATCCATCAAATTGAAATCATGGTCACAATAATATACATATATATGTAGGCAGTGGGGAGGGGAAGCAGGGGTATTTGCATAGAAAAAATAATACAAATCAAAACAAATGCCTCTTGTTGTGAGAAAATTTAGGAACACAGATGCATAAGTCCTGGAAAAAATGAACAATTTGCCAATATATATTGTATAAAGAAAAAAGGAAAAAAATTACTTTCAAAAATACTTTCCCTAAAATAAAATTGTGAAAACACCTTTAGTATTTTGATGTTTCTCTCCATGTCTCTTTCCATCCCTTCCTCTCTCTCTAAAAATAAAGAAAATCTTTTTTTAAAAGATCATGATAATACAAGAATCATGGTAATACATAACAATATAAGGCCTGCTTTACAAAAATAATACATTTTTGTAAAAAAAAACCTTTTAAATAGATGAAGAATAAGTGTCAATGGATTGAGAGTAGGATGCAGGGATACAGAGTAATAAGCAAGCAAATGAGGACAGGTATTTCATGAACACGGAGATCATGATTAACTCAATTCTCTACTCCTGAGATGAAAATAAAGTTTTCCAAATGACATGGGAAGAAGGCAGATTACCAAACTGTTAAATCAGAGTGAGATAACTACAGAAAATGTCTGAGATTTAAAAAAGTGAAATACTTTAAACTACAAACAATAGAGCACAAAAATAGCAATTAATCCTTATTTCCCTTACATTTTGACAAATACTCTCACATACCAGCTCCGAAGAGGTCATTCACAGTGCTTATGATTTCATCATCATTTAAAGTGGCCATTTTAGTAGTGGCAGATTTGTTGTGGCATGTACTAATCAGAGCATCAGTAATGTCTCTCGTATGGTCCTGAAGAGACAAATCTTAGCGTGATTATCAATCCCTATTTACATTTTATGTCATATGTGAACCTCGTGAACCATGTTGTATAAAATGAACTCAATTTGCCTAGGAATATAAGGATTATAGTAGATCATTTTTAACCTTACAGCCAATTTTGCTTGTCAAATTTTAATGCTCTATTTTAAAAGAATGTAGATTAGAAAACCAAGAGAGCAAGCTCAATTTTCTTTTTAAAGTTTCTTTCAGTCAATAAAAAAAGTTCCTATGGCTAGAAGCATAGTTGAAAAAATTAAATATTAGCTTACCATGTAGACATTGCTGGGTAATGAACATAATCAGAGGTTTCCAAAGCCATTGTAAGAATTTTACTGTAATCAGCATGTGAGAATAGATGAGGCTGAAGTAGGTTATGGAGTAGGAAGAAAAGCTTAGGACTTTACAAATTCTTTTACTTACTGTATTTGTTCTAATATTCCTAAGTGGTACCTTGAAACAGATTTTTTATTGCCTCTTCTTTTTCATTGGAAGGGACTTAACTCCTTACATATCTTCATTTGCTCAATTATCCATCTTTTAACTTTTATTTTTTCATGATGTCATCATCTCAGCAAATCAACCTTCAACAGCTACCATTCTTTATAATACATACATATTTCATGAGAAAAAGTTACTTTTTTGTGGATCATAAAAAAGTGGACCAAAAATATCACAGAGGCTTCACAAAAAGGTCCATTTTTGTCACCTAAAGTAACTTCTCAAAGTTTACTTATATATAGTAAAGGGACTCAAGTAGAAAAAGAGGGTAGACTGGGAGCACCCTATACAATATTTTTTAATTATTCAAAACACTTTCTGAAAATAATGCTGACACTTTTAAGACCTCATAGTTTTAGGTATGAAATGAAAAAGAAAAATTCAGTGGTTGACTTTTTCAAAGAACTTACCTACATGGTAATTATTCATCAGCCAACTACAGATTCACAATTCAAGTACACACTGGAGAAATTTCTGAGGTCTCAAAAAATTCATAACTGTTCTTAAAGTCACTACATTAGAACAAACTAGTACTGCCCTATAATCTCACTGACTGAAACTCATATTTTTAAGTTTGTGTAAGAGTCGTTATGGCAAAATTATAGTGAAAAGAACCAAGGACAAATACATACAACTTCCTGGGTACTCAGCACATCTCATCATTATCTTTTGCTTGTTACTAAATCCCTTTTCCTGGTATAAATTTAAATCCTACCTTATCATAAGTAGCAAGATGATCTTGTACATGTCGTGCAACAAACTGATTGAAGGCCTGATAAAACTCTCGAGGAGCATTTACAATCTTCAGTGGAAGGTATCGAAAACATGGTATGAAATCGGCAGGATTAGCAGCACTGGAGGCCTTGAGTAAATCATCATTAGTTTTAAGTATCCTAAGAAACTCCTCGTCGCCATGGTCATATCTCTTGCCAAAGCAAAGGGCACAGACAATGTTGGCTACTGCACACATGACGGCATTTCTGGGATCAAAGCTGCCATTCTTAGAAGTCAACTCTGCAAAGACTTCAACCAGCTCAGCAGCTTCCTTGATGACATGTTCCTCAAGTAAGCAAGAGCAGGTAGAGGATTTTGCTTCTGCTTTAGAGAAAGTCCGTAAAGCATTAGAGGCTATTTTCTTATGAAGCTTCCAACTCTCACCATAATTGACAGAAAATGAAAGACTCTTTCCTTCCGCTAAGAAAGAAAATGTGTGCATGTTAGGTCTGCCTGCAAAAGACTCTCCATTCTTGAGTAGTACTTGCTTCACCATTTCCATTCCATTCACCACCACCACAGGCACCATGCCAAGTTTGATGAGAAAAACATCTCCATATTTCTTCCTCATCTCTATGAATGTAAGGTAAGGATGGTCTCCAAGCTGAAGAAGATTTCCTATGAGGGGAAAGGACCATGGGCCAGGAGGAGACACCTGCTTTCTCCCCTGACTCCCGAGTGCTCTCACAAAAATAAAAACCATCACCAAAATTATGAGAGAAGTGGTCACCACTTCAGGAGGTATTGCCATGTCAAATATCATTTTCAGGAATAAAGCACCTAAAATAAAAAATATATATAACCTTAGTGTTACCATTCTAAGCATAGACTAAGACCCTTTCTCCTTTTAAACATTTAAATGAAAAGTACAGACTCTTTGTAGTCAGTTGAAAACTATTCTTAACCAATGTACCAAAAGGATAAAATCACATTCTTATAAAACGCATTTTACCTTTATTCCAATTCTATTATTTTCATAATTCTAAACATCAGACCAAATTGTTTCATGTCAGTCATTGATACAATAGACAGAAGAAGACAATTTTTATGTAGAAAGCACCTTGGTGGTTGGAAAAGAGCTGAAGGCCATAGACGCTAATTCCGTACTCATTATTAGCCAAGGATCTTCATCTTGTTACTTAATCTAAGTTCATCCCAGTTTTCTTATCAAAATAGCCTAGCTGACCGAATTAGTCATTCATTATTTCAATAAATATTTATTGACTTTCCCCATCCCATGTCAGGCACTAAAAAAATACAAAATTTCACAGACTCATGAGGAGCCTAGATAAACAACAATAAGATTACAAAGTGGAAAATGCTATACAGAGTTGAGTACAGAGCCATCTGTCATTGTTTAAGGATCAAAATAAATCACTAAAAGTACTTAGTGAACTATAACTATTTAGTGAATATCTAATTGTTTGTCTGCCAAGCCTGTCCTTACACTCCCCAAGCCTCTTGAAAGGGTGACCTACTGAAGCTACATATCCTGCTCCATAACTTGCCCTTGTAGCCATGGGTGATTGAGCCAAGAATGGGCCACCAACCCAAAATGAACCCTCCTTAGGAAGATGGAATCAGAACTGTGAAAGATCATCTCCTCTCTGGGCAGCTGTATCTACAAAATCTAAGTTTGAAGATATGATTTGGGGACCTTTAACCCACTGGAAGGACGCGAGAAACTGAAAGAAGTTCTGAAAAATAAATGAAGTAGAAAGGAAAAGAAATAATGGGCTGAGGAAGGCCTCATTCCAAGGTCACTACTATTCCAAGTAGTGACCTTGCCTTCACTACTTCTAATACCTTCATGAGATCTAGTCCTTGGACTGAATTATTTCCTGCTTAAACTAACTATAATTCATTTCTATTACTTGCATCAAAGAGGAACCTAACCAAAAAGTTTCATATACATGCAGAATACATTTGTCAGTCATTTTATTTTATAGTAACTATAGAGGGAATAAAAAACTTCCTTTAGAAGCATGCATAACTAAACTGGTCACATTTCTCAAATTATTTACAGGACAAGTAACATTGGAGGCATTAAAATTGTTCACCAGTGTAAATGTCCAGTTCTCACTGGATTTACCTTAGACACTTTAAATAAATATGCAAGCAAACCCTTGTCCCCTGTCTCATCTGATTGCTTCACTTTTCTAAGTTCACTGATAAAATGTGGCTAACTGCACCGACTTGGTTGGCACTGGTTACTAAAAACTGAACTTTGGAATTAAATGTGAGAGGTCAACATTTTCACGGAAAAAAAAAACCTGAATACACATTTAAATTAAAAAGAAAAGCAGTCCCTAATCAATGCAGCAGCTACAACTTGCAAAAAAATCATTTTCTTTCTGTTCGCAAAGGAAACAGTGGGGGCTTCATTGTGTTTCTGCTTTGCAACATGCTGATTTTGCAAAACATTTTCCATCAAACATAACTATGACCTTGTACAGTGCACTTACCATGTGTCCAATCCAGAACCAAGCATTAAATCTGTGCTGTCTTTTAAAACCCACTCTTCTGAGAGAATTATAGAGAAGCTTAGAGAGATAAACTCATTTTCCCCATTTTCTCCCCATGTTTTCTGAGCTGAATACAATGCGTCAATAACCTTTTGCACTTTTTTTTTACAAAATTTAATTTCTCTTGGGCATTCACCAAATTGCCAGTTTGCACATTGAGAATCATCAGTGGCATTTCCAAAGCAGGATATTAAATAGGTGAGAAGTGGTTGTATTGGGAAGAACTTTGGGCACTGATAAGGATGACTGGATTTCCTGCCTCACTCCAGTCCTGTTCAGCTGTCCTGCTAAATCACATCTGCCTTCGCCTCATTTTCCTTGTCTGTAAAATGACCACTTCGGACTGGAAGACTTTAAAGACCAGCTGCAGTCTTCAGTAATCAAAGCTAGCAGGGAAAACGGGGCAGAAGCACAAGTGGGACGCACAGGGTTAATTACCCAGCAAAATTATGTTGCCAGAGTTTCCAGGGCAGTTTACAGTTCATCAACAAATGTAACTAACTGTGATCACTGTTAATTCTTGTTAAGCCTGGGCTCTTCTAGCTCCATTTATTAAAATATCTTTGGCTGCTTTCCAGGGCCAGACGTATTGCCAGCTTTCCCAGCAACTTTCTTGGAAAGCTCTGAAGGTATATTCTGTTCCTGTTGTTTTGGGGGTGAATTAGGGCTGAGGACAGGGAGTAAAAGGTCCCCTAAGGGTGAGCTGTTGCATCATCAAAGATTCCAGGGAAACTCTAGATACCAGCCAGGTAAAAAGAGCATGCATAGGTTGGGGGATTTTGTACTGATTCTCAAATGTAGACACACATTATATGCCACCTCCCCATCCTCCACAAGCTGGTTAAACCATTGCAAGGATCACATCCTGCACAAACCAATTACATCCAAATCTCTAGGGACAGATACATTTTCAAAAAGCTCCTCGATATGACTAAGGGGAACTCCAAGATGAAGACCTTTTTGAAGGAATAACAACCTGCATGAGATCAACAAATCCATTCATCCCAATTTCAGTGAAGCTTGGAAAGCTCACCTGTGCCCAGAAATCTTGCAAAGTCAGTGCGAGGAGTCTGCAAAAGGATCTAACCACCGAGAAAGTTTGGAGAAAGTGGAAGGGATCCTAGGAAACAGCAGTCTCTTCACAGCGGCAGCAGGCCTCGTGAAAGGCTGGGAGAGAACTTTCCCAGTAGAGAACTGGGAGGGGAGGACCTTGGACCCATGTGGGGAGGAGTCTGGAACTGGTTTAGAACATTCGAGAACTAGAGAGAGGGACGAAGAAGCCTATGCAGCCAAAATCGGGCCCAGGAAGCTGGGAAATTCTAGCGTGAATGGAAGGAGAGAGACAGATGGAGCAAGGGGTTTTGACAAAAGGAGTAGGATGGAAATTGGTCTTGGAAAAAAAGCAGGGCAGGAGAGGGTGGATGGGAAGACTAATTATTTTTAAATTGTTTGTGACAAGCAGAGGTAGTTCCAAAAGGTAGCAAAGAAACAAGGAAGAAAAATAGGATCGTACGGAGCCATTGCTTTGCTGCGAGTTGCAGGAAACCAGGAGAATGCACCACACGCTAGACAAGGAGTTGGGGAGTAGGGGCGGCGGACAGATGAAGGGAATTCAAAATCTAGGAAGCTTGGGTTTCTCGGGTAGATTTGGCAAATTCCTCGGGGGGGGGGGGGTTCACCATCAGGACAGATTTGTATCTCTACAACTAGAACAGTCAACCTCTGGGGATATTTATAGCTTTGATTTGAGAATATATTCTCACCTAGGTCAGGGCACTTTTTCTACCTGAAATCTACTTTCTCTACCTGTTACTAGGTAAATGATGCATGGTTTGAGGTTATCTTCCTGTCAAGATGTCTGCAGCTTATTATATAATAAACTTAAAAAAAGTTTTCTAGAGTCTTTGGCTTGGAAAATATTTTTTTTGTTTTTTTTTTATTTTATTTAGTTATTTTTCAAGTACAGTTTTTTGTCTATTTTTGGAATGAGAATATCCAAGAATGATCACTGTTAGTATGTTCTTACATAGGGAAGAAAGCCAGCCAGCAAAAGTGAATGCTAAAAATAACGTATTCACTAAAGGAAAAATTTCAGGCCTCAAGCTTTAGTGTCAAATTCACACACACACACACACACACACACACACACACACACACACACAAACAATAGATTTCTAAATATCTAGACTAAAATTTTTTTTAAAATCTGGCAAAGGCCTCAAACCATGGAAAGTTTTTGACCCGCTAGCAGTACTTATGCTAATAATCATGTCATAGCTAGCAACTGAAAAAAATATTCCTAATGTTTTTCCATGAAGTATTACCTTCTCTGATATAACCAACCCCACATTGGATTAAAGTATGGAAACGATGCAGCCATAGCAGAATCTTTGTGCAAGCAACCATAATTTAGACTGCTGGTAATAATTGCTTCATAATGTGTTCTTTGAAAGCTTTGATAGAAGATAATGAGAATTGCCTGTGACTGAATGGCCAGGGGTGGGGTATTAGTTTCCTATTGTTGCTGTAACAAATTACCACAGACTTGGTGGGTTACAACAACAGAAATATATTAACTCTCGGTCTGAAGGCCAAAAGTCTGAGATCAACGTGTTAGTATGGCCCCGCTCCTTCTAAAGTCTGACTTTTCTACCTCATGGTGGCACCAGGTGTTCCTTGGCTTGTGGCTGTACATACTAGACAGGGATTAGTATCATCCCTGTCTGTTTTCACATGGTCTTCTCCTCTTCTACCAGTCTTCCCTGTGGGTCTTTTATAGGGGTGTCTATCATTGGATTTAGGGCTCAATTGGATAATCCAGAATGATTGTCACTGAAAATCCTTAACTAATTACATTTGCAATGGTCCTTTTGTCAAATAAGGTCACAGTCACAGGGTCTGAAGTGTAGACATATCTTTTTGGAGGCTACCATGCAGCCAATTACAGGTGTGATATCACATTCCCTACCATTGCCCTATAGTGAAGAATTGAACTCAGATTCATTCAGATTCTATTTTCCTTTTTTTTCTCCTGGCAAGTAGTTTAGCAGGGTCTCCATTTCTCCTGGGTTCTAATACAAGCTCTGTTATTTCATAGGTTCATGTATCTGAACATGTTAATAAATCCTTCTTTACTTCAGTAATCCTTCTCAGTATAACGAAGACTTCTCACAGTATTTATCTCAGTGGTTAGTTAAAAGAATCATTTAATATGTGTACAGCACTTAATATTTGGCATGCAATAATTAGTTGAAAAAGGCAATAGCTTCAGTTTATAGAAAAGAAATGTTATACTCATAGGGATGAATAGGGGACAGGGTGCTTAGTGGAGAAGGTGATATTTAAAATGAATTATAAAGCATATATGGGAAGATATGCTAAGCAGAGAAGAACATTTGAAAAGGTAGAGAGGTTTAAAAATAGCTTTTCATGGTTAGGAAATAAAGTGAGGTAGAAGGTGAACCTGCAATTATGTACTTAAGTATGTTTCTAGTGGCTTGGTCCAGTGGATTCAGCCACTTATATATTTCTCACTGTCCTTGCATCTTTATTCAGAATTGCCATCCTCTGGATCTGGTCCCCATTAAATTGTTCCTGGGCTATTTTTTATACTAAAAAAAGTTAAGATTACATTCACAGCCAGTATGAAACACAACATTTAAATGGCTTAACTAAATAGGGTTTATATTTCTTACACGACAAGATATCTCAAGGTAAGTGGCTGCATCCATTGGTTCAGCAGCTCTGTGACAGTTCGAATGATATTTCTACCACCCTTTGCTCCTTTCCCTTTGGCTGCTACATGGCTGCTGCAGCTGTATCCATCACATCCACATCAGAACAATAAGAAAAGGGTAAGAGCATGTCAGCCACATTTGCACTATTTTATTATTCAAGGAACCACACGTTTCCCAGAAACCAACAACAGAAATGTGCCTAAGTCTCGTTACTATCACAGAAGATGAGAAAGTATTTGGGTTGCCATGCATTCACTGCAAAGGAAAGAAGGCCTAGCCCTGGCTGTGAGTTTCAGTGGACTGAGTGCTGGCCTAAGAACCAAAATATTATCTGTTTGATTCCCAGTCAGGGTACATGCCTGGGTTCAGGTCAGGTCCCCAGTAGTGGGTGCACGAGAGGCAACCACACATTGATGTTTCTCTCCCTCTCTTTCTTCCTTCCCCTCTCTCTAAAAGTAAATAAATAAAATCTTTAAAATCAAAAGAAGGCTTAATTAGTAAGACAAGGAGGTAGACTAGATATTGGGAGTACAATGAACATTATCTGCCACACATTGTGTCTAGTGGTCTTGTCTCTAGTCTCTCCCCCAAGGCATGCTTGTCTCTGACAGTCTAATCAGCTTTAGGTAGATGAATCTGATCGTATTATTTTACTAACCTTCAGTCAGCAGGCAGAGTACATTGCATGTCATTCAGTAGCATCTGTGACTGACTTATTTGCCTTTTCAGTGTTATCTGTTGCTATTCTACTCCCTTATGTTTTGTAACATATCTGCTTCAATTCTCTCTCCCTTCTTTTAGTCACTGTGCACCTAGGATTTTGTCTGGAAATAGCAGATGCTCAATATAGTTGTGTGGTGTGAATGAAAGATTTCCTCACACACCCAAAGTTTTACCCTGCTTCTATACTTTAGTTTCTACTGTTCTCTTTGCCTGGTATGCCGTTACACTTTACATTCAATTTAATCCACAGGGTATATGATTCTATGAAACCTCATCTTGCTTGCTCTTTTTTCCCTTTTTTGTCTGTTGCAGTGGATACTGTGGTGTCTTGCCAAGATCTGCACTTCAGGATTAATGCACACATCTTGACAATTGTTGAGAATTTCTGCTACTGATAGCTCTCAAACCCTGAAATTTTTGCCTTTAGTTTCAAAAAATCCCCTAGTTGAGACATCCTTTTTTCCTGGGGTGTCCTGTAGTATGATTGGCTGGTGCATGGAAAGAGAAGCCCTGCTGTGTTGGCTCAATTTGGAATGAAGGCTCGTTCTAGCTCCATTGTTCCCCAGAGGATCAACTGAGACTTTGGTGGAAAGAGCATCTGTAGTGTGGATCAAGTTCCTATTCTGCCCCAATCTGCTTTCCCTATTTCCTAACAAAGGTCTGTTCTGATTGTGATCAATAAAACTTCAATGGAGAAATTTTCATTCAGAACAAATTTCCAGGGAATCCAATCAAAAACAACTCTATTGGTATTTTGACAATCTGCCTATAGTCTTTTGGACAATGCTGGCCATGTAGGGATATTTAGCACCTTCAAAAACAGACTGTCTCCTGCAGTCGGCTCTGCCATGCAAGTCTGAACGGCCTCCATGCCAGAAGGATTATTTGTCTTGCATTCAAAGAGAGAAAGAAAGATTTTCTAGAGAAAGTACTATTAGGAAGACTTGTCACCTCCAAAAAACTAGATGTTTATTTTATGTTCTTCTTTTATGTTTTATATATGTTTATTAAGCATATTTTATTGATTATGATATTACAGTTGTCCCATTTTTCCCCCTTGCCCTCCTCATCCAGTACCCCCATTCCCTCCAGCAGTCCCCCCCTTATTTCATGTCCATGGATTGTACATATGAGTTCTGTGGCTTCTCCATTTCCTATGTTATTTTCAACATACCCTATTTTGTACCTACCAATTATGCTTCTTATTCCCTGTACCTTTTCCCCCATTCTCCTCCTTCCCTCTCCCCATGGATAACCCTCCACGTGATCTCCATTTCTGTGATTCTGTTCCTGTTCTGGTTATTTGCTTTATTTGTTTTTGTTTTTTTAGGTTCTATCTCTTGATAGTTGTGAATTTGTTGACATTTTACTGTTCATAGTTTTGATCCTCTTCTTTTTCTTAGATAAGACCCTTTAACATTTCATATGATAAAGATTTGATGATGATTAACTACTTTAGTTTTACCTTGTCTGGGAAGCACTTTATCTGCCTTTCAATTCAAAATTGTCAAAATGATCATTAAACACAAATGTCTTTATCAGTACAGATGACTTACATTAATTTTAATGTTGACTTTCCTTCTGATCATACCCAAATACATCCATTCTCACCACAGAAATAAATGTCTACCTATATATACACACAACAGTGTTCTTGACAGTGAGTAGGAAATCTCCAAGAAGTCTCAAATATAGGCCACCTACATTGGTCCATTCTCAAAAAAGCAGCTTAAACCTTTTTGCTTTGTATGCATATAGAATAAAGTCAATTTACTATCCATTTTTATAGATGAAATAGAGTTTGGTACAAGAGCTAAAGACAACCATAGGTGGATAAAACATAGCAGGTGTTGGCTACCTATGTTTCTTTGCCCCACCAAGATTACCGTGACTCCTAACAGGGAACTCCAAGGCCAGGTAATGACTGTGGCTCATGAAGTGAGTTAAAGTTGGTTACTGTGTTAGACAATAGAATATCAATAGCAAAACCTGTGTATAAATTTTGGCTCCCCCAAAACTCAACTACTAATAGCCTACCGTTGACAGCCTTACTATAACACAAACAATTGATTAATATGTATTTTATATATATTTTATACTATGTCCTTACAATAAAGTGAGCTAGAGAAAAGAAAATGTTATCAAGAAAAACATAAGGAGAAGAAAATATATTTGTAGTATTTATTTAATAAGTGAACCCACCCACCATGACTCATATGGCTCAGCTGGTTGGAGTTGTCCTGCAAAGAGAAACATCACTGGTTTGATTTCTGGTCAGGGCACGTGCTTAGGTTGAAGGTTCGATCCCAGGTTGGGTATGTATGAAAGGCAAGTGATAGATGTTCTTCTCTCCCATTGATGTTTCCCTTTCATTCTTTCTCCCTCCTTTCTCCTCTCTCTAAAAAATAAATAAATAAATAAAATTAAAAAAATTTTTCATGGATCCACTCAGTTCAAATTCATATTGTTTAAGGGACAACTATATATGCCAAATGCCTGATTCATAGTAGACATTCAATTAGTGATCGTTGCCATTATTGTTATTATGAATATCGTTGCTGTTGCTGCTGTTACATCAAGAAGTGTAATATTGAAAGTCACATAATCAATTTGGTCAGTGTAGCCATTCAAAATAGATAATTCATGAAAAATTAAAGGGGAATTTTATTCCACAACACAAGAAATTTCTTTTCTTAAAAATGTAAAGTATTATCATATTGCTACATTTTTCTTTACTCGTAATGATTCAATCTGAAAGGAAGAACTTTTTCTTCTCTATCTCACTTAGGTATGATGAAATGTAAATTTTAATTTAGCAGCACCTACTTAATTTCTAAAAAATTCAATTTTCTGTTGCATAAATCATACCATTAATTTTGCCTTCAGATAGGTGACACTTGATCTGTGGCATAGTCTACAGTGTGCTATTTTTTTTTACTGAGACACAGGAATTTTTTCTCAAATACTGTGCAATATTTTTCATTCTGATAAATTCCACATTACTGGTATTAAAAACTACTACTGGATATTGCACACATTGAAAGTGAAGGGAACATTAGTGAGTTTTTCTTTAATTTCTCACACTTGTGTGCTCAGACTTGAAAAATCATAATCACATGTATAGGTTTGTGATGTGGTTTTATTAGCTTATTATATTTTATGTCTAATATATGGGACCATGGCAAAGAAATAAAATCAATCCGCTAGTATTATCAAAACAATATTTAATAAGAAGCCGTTACACATGATAAACTTAGAATTAAATATTCAGAATTCCAAACTACTGATTTTTTAAATATGGTAAGCACTCATACAATTTATAAATGTGACTCTCTCATTAATTTAGGATTTTGATTAACCTTTTATATACATATCAATTAATTATTTTAAAATAAAATACATTTCATTCTAAAATTGCATTGGACATAAATAGCATTTTCCAATATGAGACTAGTGCTGCTCTAAAGTTTTGAGTGAATCAATGTGTACATTAACAGAATGAAGAGATAAAAATACAAGAATATCTCAACAGATGTACAAGAAGCATTTGACAACATTCAATACTTTTCATGATAAATACACTCAACAAACTAGAAACAGGAAAAAAACCTGCCTCAACATAATAAAATCCATGTTTAGAAAGCCCATAGCTAACATCATGCTCAATGGTGGAAGACTGGAAGCTTTTCCTCTAAGATCGGGAATAACACAATGATACCTACTTTTGCCATTTGTATTCCATGTAATACTTTAAGTTCTAGCCAGAGCTATTAGGCAAGAAAAAAATAAAAGGCACCCAAATTAGAAAGGAAAATGTCATAAATGACATAATCTTATATTTAGGAAACCTGCCCAACTCTATTTTAAAAAATAGATCTAATCAATGTATTTAGTAAAGGTGCAGAATACAAATCAACACACAAAAATCAGTTGTGTTTCTAAACATTAAAAATGAAAAATCTGAAAAAGTAATTAAGAAAACAATTTTATTAAAACAATATTATCTAAAAGAATAAGATACTTAGAAATAAACTTAACCAAGGAAGTGAAATCCTTGTACACTGAAAACTATAAAACATTGCTGAAGGAAATTAAATAAGACAAAAGTAAATGAAAAGACATCCCATGTTTATGAATCAAAATTCCAATGGCTGTTTTTGCAGAAAAAGAAAAAATGCATCCGAAAATTCATACAGAATTATCACGAGACCTGAATGACCACAACAATCTTGAAAAAGAACAAAGCTATAGTTCTCACACTTTCTAATTTCAAGATTTACTATGAAACTATAGTAATCAAAGGTCAGACACATAGACCATTAGAATAGAACAGATAGTCAAATGATCAAATGGTATTGGCACCATGTCAAAAAATTACTTGACCATATATGTGACCATAACAATTAAAAGTTTTGTGCATCAAAGCACACTATCAACAGTGATGAGGCAACCCACAAAATGGGAGAAAATATTTGCACATCATGTGTCTGACAAAGAATTAATGTCTAGAAGATATAAGGAATTCCTGCAACTCAACAACAATAATATCTTAAGAGAAAAATATGGGCAAAGGACTTAAAGATATAAAGTTATAATTTCCAAACATATAAATGTGACCAAAACCCATGTGAAAGACACTCAACATCACTAATCAACAAGGATTTGCAAATCATACCACAACGAGCTATCACTTCACACACATGAGAATGGCTATTATAAAACCAAAACAAAATGAAACAAAAATCCCGGGAAATGACAGGTGTGCCAAGGTTGAGGAGAAATTGGAAACTTTTTGTGCTGTTGATGGGAAAGGAATTTTAAATGGTGCCAGCAGCTATGGAAAACAGCACAGCAGTTTTTAAAAAAATTAAACATTTAATGACCATATGGTTCTAAAAGACACTCTCTTTAACCAAACTTTAATTAGGCTTATCTGAGCCCTCCTGACTAGGCCTTGTCCTGGGTCCTGTCTTCAGTTGGCCTAGTCCGGTCATGGAAAGAATCCTGCCACGTCAGCTTAGAGAGAATGTCTTACCCTTGACATCTGACCAAATTCCTAATCCCTCACACTTGATAACTGACCTTCAGAATTCTGTTAAGTCTGCCTTCAGAATTCTGTTGTCATGTTTAGCATGAATTCCTCTATCCTTTATGTCTCTTGTTAGCAATTTTCTACTCACTAAACCCTTTATTCAGCTGATTGGTGGTAAATTCCCAGCTTCTCTTGCCCCGTCTCTCTCCCCTGTTGTGATAGTCTTGACGTCTATCACAATATCCCTAAATAAAGTCTTTCTTACTGGTTACAAGTGTCAGAATGTTTTCTTCAACATGATCTCAAAATTCACTTTTAGGTATATAACCCAAAATAATCAATGGACTCAAACATACATTTGCACACCCATGTGCAAAGTGGCATTATTCACTACAACCAAAAGGTGAAAGCAACCCAAGAGGCCATTGATGGATGAATGGATAAACAAAATATGGTTTGTACATACAATAAAATATTATTTAACTTTAAAAAGAAGGAAATGGTGACATAAGCTGTGACATGAATAAACCTTGAGGGCATTATCCTAAGTGAAATAAGTCAGTAATAGAAGAAAAAATATTGTCTAATTCCACTTATATGAGATACCAAGAGTAGTCAAATTCACAGAGACAAAAAGGAGAATGGTAGTTCTTAGGGCTTGGGTGTGGGAAAGAATGGGAAGTTGCTGTTTAGTACTTAATATCACTGAACTCTACACTTACATATGGTAAAAATGCTAACTTCTATAATATACATACTTGCCACAATAAAAAGGTGTGACTGAAAAAAATAAAACAACAAGAAACAAAAACAAGAAAATAGAGAAGAAAAGGAGAAGGAAAAGGAAAAAGGGGAAAACAAGAAACGGAAGGGGGGGAAAGAAAAAAAAAAAAAAATTAAAAAAAAAAAAAATACCATTCAACTTGCTTTAATAAAGATACACTTTTAAATTATTAAAAAAAAAAGGTGTGACTGAAATTCTCAAGTGAAAAACTATCATTCTCAATACATTATGTCTTTATTTTGTCAGTAACATCATGACATGGTTCCAACTTATTTAGTATGTACTCCTCATTCAGTTGATGCCATGGTATAAATTTAAAAAATGAACATGGTCAAAATTGTCTTTCAAGCATCACCTTGTGTTGATTAACTTTTTTAGTTTAATTCTTTATTTGTGTATCACTTCTAAATATTTCAGAGATAAGTGAGCTGGAGTTTATTTTTACCCTTTATTATAATATTATAATGTTTGAATATTTGACCTTTTCTTAACTAGAGACAAAAGCCACTCTTTCTTTATAAAAATAATATCAAAGAGAGTACTTGACCCTAGGAGTAATTGCTATACTATATTAATAGATCTGGATTTGACTTGAGATTACAGTGAATCCATTATAAGGGCTGAAAACAAACTCAAGAAGGTATCTAGTTTATGTGTTCTATGAAGGACCCACCCATTCCAGGAAGATGACCCTTTATTATTTCCTTCGCTTTTCTAAGACTCTCAGTGGAGTCTATTCTATTTCTTAATAATACTATTTCTGTTCAAAATGCCCTTGTTGAACAATATGCTCTTTATAAAATCCATTCCCTCTTATTCTTCCTATTTAGGAAATAATGTAGTCTGTTTCTATAATGCATGTTTCAATAAAAGAAATGTGCTCATCTCTATTAGGGGATTGTGCTATTTTAAAGAGGAAGTCAGGTTTATTTAATCTGTGAGTTCCCTTGGTATGTGAATGTGTTGAACTCAGCAGGGGCAAACTTTCTGTCAAAGAGCATCATTACCAACAGATGAAGAACCAAGAGGGCAACCTTAAATTCGGAGATAGACTTTGATGGCTAATTTAGTGGCTATGCTTCCCAAACATTTAGCTATTTGGTGAAACTAAAAATGTAGATAGAAAAATTCCAAAAATATTTCTTTCTGTGGTATAAAAACTAAAAAGTGGTTGATTAAGAATTTTATATCCCAGATCATTTGAAACTGGTCTTCTTTTAAAAAATAAAGACTATCCTTAATTAATGTCCCAGTGAAAAAATCCTGAGCTGAGAGTACAAGGATGCAAAGGGTGCAAAAGGTGGACTTCCAAGGGCAACGTAAGGTGTTGAGATTTTGTTGGGGTTCTAATGGCTTTTATTAGTGCTCTGATTGCAAATAAGAGAGCCTTAGAGTGGTCTGCTTCTAACCCTGGTCTTTCCAATTGCCCTGTTGGTTTCCCTTTCTGCAGAAATGCAGGTATTGCTGGAATAGATATAGTGTGTTATTGCAGCATCATCTAGAATGCAAAATTTTTTAAGGATTATTTACAGCTTTATACAAATGATCTCATTTAACCCTTAATACAAGATTTTTTAGTTCCTTATAATTACACCCATTTTTGAGAATATTTCTCTGGGGTTCAATGGTATTTTTGCAAGTATATACAAGGAAGCCCCCTAAGTCCTTCAAGCAGTTACTGTCATTCTCTTTCTCTCAGCTTTTACAAGCAAGTTGCAGACATGCTTGAGGCCCCTTTACCTCTAAATATTCCAGAGTGTATTTCGTGTAAACAAAGACAGTCTCTTACATAAGTACAGTACAATTAACGTCAGGAAGTCAACATTGATACGATATTTTCTTACTCACATTGCCAGATAATTTTCTTTATAGCAAAAGAAATGCATTACATTTAGTTGTCTAGAATTGTCACACAGTTTTCCATCATCTTTGTGATTTTTAACATTAAAAAGATTATAGGCTCATTATTAGACTGTCATTAAATATAAATTCATGTGATGTTTCTTCATGATCATGTTCAGATTATGTATTTCTGCCAGAGCGTTCCTGGTGGTTCCTATCTCTATCACAGTCACACAGCTCGTTAACCTGGGGGCCTGCACGTAAGCCTGAGTGAGGACTCAAAGGCCACGCCCTCAACATCCTTGTGTAACATCATGAATAATTACGGAACTAACAAAAGTCCACAATTTCTAATAATTATCACTGAAGATTTACTCCAACCTCTGCCACATAATGGATTAGGAGCAGGGAAACCAAATGATATAGCAGTATAGACCTATTATAGAAAATACATGCTCATTTTCTATTGCATGGAAAATATGATCCAAAAAGTTAATAGAAAATTTTAGAAGTTTGAAAGTTAGAAAACTATAAAAAATTTAACTATAGAAAAATTTAAAGTTTAATAGAAAACTTTATCAAAGATGTATTTTGTGTGTCTTAGACTATCAGTTTTATGATTCCTTACTTTACTTGCTTTTTTGGTGCCTGTCTTGTTTTCTTGCCCTAAAAATGTGTTACACATTCTGAAAGGGTCAGTTCGATTCTACAATACTTCAATTTACATTGGTGTATTTCCAAAGAACATAATTTAAACATTACAATCAAACTCCCCTGCATTGGAAAAATCCAATCCCTAAAAGCTTGCATAAAGGTGGTAATTTCTATGTAACATCTGACTCTTCTAATTATTTCAAAATGCAACCAATTATCAAAATAAATTTTAAAATAGTTTCATGAATCAATATCAATAAATAAGCTTCCATATTTTCAAAACTCTACACATCAGGCTAATTTTTCTAATGCCATTATTATGATGTAAATTGAAACTTAAGGCAATAATTAATACTTTGAATTATCATTGATATTTTGTCCATGAGTATGCTTAAAGTCAGTTCTACAAATTGAAACTTACATTTATTCTGGTTGTTTTTATTTAAAAATTTTAGTTTCTATACTCTTTCAAAATCACACTTGATCTTGACTGGTAAAATTAAAAAGCCTCTGAAACAAGCATAGCTTCTTAGTGTGCATTGGAATTGCATATACAAGAATAAATACATTTAAAAATATTTAAATCTATAAGAATTATACCATATCTCAAATATCACCATTCACTCTCAACATGAAGGTTCTGGAAAATTCTATAGCCCATTGAGAAAAATTAGGGACTATTTGATTTAATGTTTTTCAAAGATGTGGGTTTAGTTCAATAGTAGGTCTTGACCAGTAAACCTGTTGTTTTAGTTTGTGCGGTAAGACATCTGAATGCATGGCTCTTTTGTGTACTCTGTGGAAAAGGAAAATAGTTTGCTTCACTGTGACATAATCAAAGAAAGCTTGAAATCCACTACTTTAATCTGTATTCAATTCTAACTTACTCTTCACTGTTATATTCTGCAGATAACTAAGGTGATGCGTTTTGTTCATTGTTTTTTTTCCCTGCCCACCCTAGATGTTTCTAGGGCCTTTTTCACAGCCTTTATTCACCCTCCCCCCGTGATACAAACTTTTCATCAAGGAATAGTACCTCCCCCTTCGCCCCCAGCTTTCTCATAAAATTAAGGCAGTTTCAGCCTGCATGCCAGAGTGTCCTTTATTTCAGCTGGTAGAGTTTTCTTCCTTTTATTGGTAGTGATCATAAGTCCCTTCCCACCTGATGAAATTTGCCTAAACAAAATTTCTGTTTGTCTAATCTGTTCATTATTATATACTGAGTGCCTAGCATATAATATGAACTCTGTAAATATTTGTTAAATAAATAAATGAATATTACAAGCCTACTGACAAGCATGACTCTACCTTTCATTATAAAATGGCCATCCTAAAATATCCCTCTCAAGCAAATTGTTTAATCTGATTCTGTAATGACTAAAAGCCTCCTCCCCAGAGATTGTACAATTAAGGGATGAGGGAGTTAGAAGAATCTCTTCTTGAATGAGACTACAGTAGGGCTGGCTAGAAATTAAATCCAGTCAGCAAAAATGTTTTGGTTGGTTCACACATTTTAATCAATGTCCTACATTTAGGCATTAGAAATTCTCACATAAAACCTCAGCTTGTCTTGAAAGATCAAAATGTCTAGCAATATCAGGACTATGGTTGGGAGGAGCTGGATGGCTGATTTACTTGGACGGGTCCTGTGTGTAAATTTTTCTCTTTGTTTGTCTCCGCTACCAGATGTGAGTTCCCCAGATACATCATATTGTGTGTGTGTGTGTGTGTGTTGGGGGGGTCAGGACTCAATTGATATATGTGAGACAAGTGCATAAATTATAAATGGGCCCCACTGCTTATGGTTACCTGTGAAGATGGCTTAAAGAACTATAAAGTCCGGTCCTCTGTTCTTCTCCCCACTGCTGTTAGAGTTTTTCCCACAGGAATCATATCTAAGCTCACATTTCAGCTATCATCTCCACCATAAAGCATAAAGCCGAATTTGCAAGCCTGGCCCGTTGCCTGGATTCTAATCAGAAATCTCTAACCGTCCCTCAACAACTCAGCCTGTGTCAAGAACTTACTCTGTTATCTAGCCAAAACACACTTTCCAACTGACTGCCCAATATTTTTAATACCCCCATTACCCTTCCATGCATATAACCTTGAAGCCTCAGCAATTTTAGAGCCCTCTTTATCCCTCACCAGCCACATTCAGTGAGTTATTAAGTGTAGTTTATTCATTCTTCAATATATTAAATGTCTCCATTTTACTGTTCTGCTGCTATTCAAGGTCAAGTTTTATCATCATGATAAACACTTAATTGCCCTCCTTGCCTCAAGCTTTTCAATATAAATTTATTTATAATATCAACAAATGTCTATCAAATGCTCACCACTGTCTTAGAAGTTAGAAAGAACAGCAGTGAACAAAAGTGATAGAGTCACTACCCTTATGAAAATGTCAGGTAGTAATAAATTATATGAAGGGAAGCAGAGTAGGAGAATAGGAAATGGGGAATTAAAGAACTATATTTAAAAAATCATTGTAATTCTTTTCACATTTTTATTTATATTCAATTAAAGAAAATTTATTACATATAGTTTCCCAGAATGAACTTCCTGAAATATTTCACATTATGGCATTTCTACACTCAAACATATTCAACAAATCATTCACCTATAAAACAAGTGGAATATGAACCAAAGTACTTAGTTCAGTTTGGATAATCTGGCCCCAAGTATTCCTTTTTACCTTTAGTCTATAAACACAAAATTCTAGAAATACGGTTAACTTTCTGGCCTTACGCTTTTCTACTTTATGGGCCCATTGCCATTATGTACACATCTCTCTGAAGCACCCAACCCTTCAGATCTCAGGACAAAAGCCCTTCTCCTTTCTCCCTGCTCTAGGTCATCCAGCATGACGCAGCATCTACCACCTCGTAATTAACTATCTCCTTGTGGTCATATTTTATCTTCCCATACGGATGGCATACTTTTGAAAGGAGACTGTCTTATATCACATTGCACTCTTCCTAGTACCTTATGAAATGGTTGGCACAGAAACATGTGTGAAATAAGGGCTGACCAATCAGTTACCTGAGTTGACCACAACCAGTCTCTGCGGTTCTCCCTGGGCACATGGCCGCATCATCTGCTCTTTTCTCTTGGTGACATTAAGCCCATACCTGAAACACAGTCATGACCTGAATATTCCACTGGAATGTGTATTTTATTTTTCCCCTGAAAACAGTGTGCCACTGTAATCCAAATAGATCTTAATACCATTTTCTGCCTAGGATGCCATACTGTTTTATCAGGAAGCTAGCTTTGCACACTTGCCACAAGGGGGAGCAGCGGCTCTGTTTGAGAAACTAGAAGGACCACATTTTTCATTCCCTTACAGCTGCCACCCTAATGGTTTTCTGTCCCCCATGTTTATTCCCATGAAGTCTTCTATTTTCATTTTTTTCTTTTACATGTATTTCTCACAACTGAAGGGAAACTTCTTCACTTTAAAAAGGAAATTTTGTCATAGTTTCCTTAATTCTATTCCTCTAGACACTAATAGTTTAATTTGTACGTAGATTCTTAATTCCCTATTTTTAAGGAAGTGGATATCTAATGTGGAACCAGTCTTTGAAAAGTACTTATTATTGGATAAAACGATTCAAGGGAAAACCAGAAAACAGCTTCCAGTCAATATCTGACATGGATGGCAGGTAACAGATATTTTTGTCTCTCAGTTTATTGAGAGAAAATAGATATTTAATGTTTGCCAAATACGAAAAGTTTTTAACTAAAACTGGGTGTTATGATACTAGACACATAAAATTATAGGTATGTATGTATGTATAAATATAAAATAGAGCTAGCAGGAATATTAGAAATAATCTGGACCAAAGTCTTCCAGTTAACTGATAAGGTTATCAAATCACAGAGAGGTCAAATGATAAGTTGATCTAGTTCAAGACTTCAATGAGATCCAAGGCTCTTTTCTTGAAATTCTATCATCTTTCTTGTAATCATAATGTGAAACCGGGAGCTAAAATAATTTTTTCACAAATCTGACAATATTATGCTAAAGATTATTAAAACAATTTTGCTTAGAGTTGTGAATACTCTGCAACACCTTCTATTTACACAATACTGAGGGTTACACTGCAGTTCTTGAAGTTGTCCAAGTAGATTTATCTGTGCTGAGTTGGAGCCTCAGACAAAATGAAGTACATGTATAATAGTAATAACAATAATAATATATAGTAAAATTTCTATTTATATCAAGAAAATCATATGTATAAATTCATGGATAAAGTTCTGTAATTATGCAGTTGAAATTGTTAACCGTGATAGTATGGGAAGAGAGGGAGAAAAGAGCAGGTAAAATATTATCCAAGTAGGCTTTCACTTTATTCTGCATTTTTCCATAATATCTGAGTTTTTGCAACAAACATGCCTAATTTTTAAATTGATGGTCATATAAAAGGCAAAAATTTAAACTATAAAAGGAAACACTACATTAACTATGGGAAAAATATTTTTATGTAAGGACATTGAACTTAATTTTTAAAAAAAAACAAAGACATCTATTATTTTCCCACTAAGAATACGTCTGTCAGTGATTAACCAGCATTATAATAAGACCTCAAAATTTAGTCCTAATGCTGACTCTGTATTAAATTATGGCTAACAAAGAATGGACTTGTTTTACAGGAATGATTAAAATTTTTCATGAGCTACTTCCTAATACATCAGCTACATTAAATCTACTCTTAACCACAGTGAATGTCTTGAAGAGCTGAAGACATCTGGGTTTTAATACTGCTCAAAGCTCAAGCTCAGAAGTTTTTTACCCTCTACGAATACTGGGTCCATGAAAATGGCCAAGTTCTGAGAAGCTACTTCTAGGCAGTCCTCTGTCAATTTCTTACTAGTGTCTCCTTATATAAACTAATCACTTGTTAGCCAGAGAACATTTATTCATGTTCCATGGACATGGGGAGAAGGTGGGGTTGGGGGGAGGTGTGAAAAAAATCTGGAAATGTAATGGCATAAACAATAAAAAATTCATTATATTATTAAATTTTAAATTTAGCTTCACAGTTCTCCTTTTCTAAAATTAGAACATAACCAAGTAATTCTGAATGCTTTATAGGTTTTTTGTGTCCTTTATATAGTTTTGATATTTTCCTCTAAGGAGAACATTGATTCCCTCCCTTCCCCAACTCCTCACATTACTATAAAGGATTTCTCTGACTTAGAACAACATTAGACAAACACTTCTAGTCCCTCTCTCTACTGGGAGGGGTAACCCATTTCTCCCTTGGATGAAGGAGTAACCTATCTCATTGGTGAACTAGGTGGCAATCTGGTGTCCATCAGTGTCAGGTTTCTCTATTGAATGTGATGACTGATGCTGAAGTCCTTGTCCGTAAATGGCCCTACCCTTTGCCTATTGCTCTTTTCCCTTCATCATAGTTGGCCCCTAAGTGAAACATGCTTTCCTTCTCTAGCTCTTCTGTGTCCATTTGGTAGGGGCCTGTGAGGGCTGTCTGCCATTCTCTAGTTTTTCCACCTTAGATTGCGAGATCGAATCCCAGTGAGAAGAGGCCATTCACACGTAAACACAAGCAATGGCTGTGTTTGAATCATGGGCTATTGGTAACTACCCTGCCTGGTTTCAGAAGCTGTAACCCCACCCCCTCATGGCTAAGGCTGAATGAGCAACCTTGGGACCATAAGCCACAAAGGAGACAAAGCTTATCTTCCTGGCAGAGGCACCACCTCTGCCCCCTTTCACTTCACCCTGCTTGGCTTCAGGTGGATGACTATTTAGCCAATGACAGATAAGACTCCTCAAGGGAGGGATGACCTAAGACAGGCATGGTTTAGAAGGGGTCATCTGGGAATTATTTAAGGGACTATAGAAGAGGGGTGATGGACCCTCACCCCTTGGCTTTGACATAACCAGAGTTCTTGTTCTGTCTGTAAGAAGTTTCCTAATCATTTGGCTGCCTTACTTCCCCTGCCTGGCAAAAGCCAGAAACAAAGCAGGAGGCAGATGTGGTCCTGTACTGGAACGGAAGGTTCCCGGAGTGATCAGGCCTAAGAAAGAATGCATAAAATCCTGTAAAACCTGTTCTACTAAGAATGCCCTCAATTTAAATGTTAAGAGTCCAAGCATAAAATGAGTTCGTTTCTCAAAATTTTATGGCCCTTTGGCTATCTGACCCTGACTCAGAACAAGCCCTCATAGTTCCTTGTATATTACCTGTTGTTTGATCATTACTACCTGACAATAATTGATAAGATTTATGTATACGCCCTGTGTTATTGTGCAAATTAAACTCAATAAAAGCCCATTGAGGAACAGGCTCAAGGCCCTTCTCTTCTGAGAGATTGTGATGTAGACTCTGGCCAGCAGTGTCTGCGGCATTGTGGGTGAGACAAGTCAAATTCACAGGGACTACCAAAGTCCTGTAAAGAAAAAGGGATGGCACAGCCACTCTCTCAAGGGGAGAGCACCTCGACACTTGCCTTGACAAGCTTTTATTGGCTTTCTAATAGCACACAGCAAAGAAGGTTCTCGTTCATTATGCTTGGGTTTGCTTTAGGTGATTACTTTTACAGATAACAAAGGAAAGAATGTTACTGATTACTTCCTACAGATTAACAAGGAAAAAATGTTGCAAATGCAAGAGAACACTAAGAGTAATTGGTCTGGTTACATTCTGTCCTTGGGAGAATTAGCACAGACTTCAGGAAGTTACTTTAAAGATATGCAGTAAGCATTTGCAGCTTCGATTCAGGGTGAGGAAGTTTTAGTAAAAGCAAGCCTCAAAGCAGCCTAGTTATAATGCAGGCCTGGTTTCCCACAGGAAAGCTGATTCATGGGTTTAGCTTCCTGTGTGCCTACTTGCACCTATCAGCTTTCCAATAGGTCTGGGCTACATTTGCCATTCCACACAGATAAGTTCCGTATAGATTGGCCACCTTTCCTTCCCAAGCAGAACATGTCTTGGTAAACTAAGTGGCCAGGGGGGGTGGCTAAGCAGGTGGAGCTCCCCAAAAGTAGGCTACAGTTTGCCAGTCCCTGTCCTGGCAATATGCAAAAATAACATTCTACATATTGTAACCCTATTTACCTCTCTACTCTCTTAGGCAGAATATTCCCATTGCCACAGCCATTCCAACGACACTTACTTCATGCTTTTATACTTACAATATTCTTTCCCACCATGGGACATTCACAAATATCCTTCCTTAGGCCTAGTTATTCATCTAGTCAGCACTTAATCATTCTTCAGATTATAAGCCACTTACTCAAGGAAGCCTTGCCATTTAAGGCCTCCCTGCCTCAGCATAGTCTCTTGCAATTATCTGAGTAGTGTTAGTTTTCTCCACTTTTTTGTGACCTGTGCCTGTTTTCTCCAGTCCTCTCTTCCTAAAATGTGTCTAACAGTATTTCTCTCTGCCATTTCCCATATCAATCTCCCTTTTTCTGTGCACTTGGAAAATTTTCTGTTGTTTCTAACTTACCACTCTGTTCTTTGCACATGTCTATCTTTTCTGTTAAGTGTTCATCCAGCTTTCCTTTGGCCCCCAGTTGCTCATGTCACAGACTTGTCAAATGTCTCCAGCTGGAAACCTCCTGGAACACACCAGTGGTAGAAAGTAGTTGCTTTTATTGACTTGTTGCATGGAGGGAGACAGTACACTCTTGGAAACCATAAAGACATCTCAGAAGAAGGGTGTGTGAAAGGACTAGGGAGAGTTCAAAGAAGCAGGGCTTTTGCTCTGGATTGGTTGCTACTGTTAGGAAGTGAGAGTAATTCATTGTTTGGGCATCTTAATAATTATTTTCTAGGAAGTAGGGGAAAAAAAGGAATAAAGCTACACCTGTCATTGGTAAAATGGCACTGGTTATTCAAATTAGCCAGATTGTGGAGACAATTGTTTTTTTTAATCATTTGGACAATGCTCATTTTTTATCTGTTAAGACATGATTACAGAATGTTCTTGTTTCTGCCTTGATCCAAAAATGTCACAGGGCCTTGTCTGTTTTTGTCACTGTGTGAAATTGTTTATGTTCAAAAGGAGAACACAGTGGCCTGGCTGAGAGCAGCAAGCCAATTACTAGCAACAGCAAGGCCTCATGGTGGTGCCAGGTAGCTGTGGGTTTTCAGAAGCTGCTGTTCTTTTTCTGAGAGAGAGTGCTCGCAGGGAAGAGTGGGCGACCAGGAAGGGGGTCCACACACACAAAGGCTCCCTGTGCCCAGTTCTGGGCCTGCTTGTCTGTGTCCAGGCTGGCCGAACTTGGCCAGCATGTAATGGAATTTCAAGAATGAATACTTTTATTTATTATTTTTCATTTTGTCCTAGTTGAAAAGACACATTAACTTATGAAGTCGGATAAATAAAATTCCTCACTTATTGAAAAATGCATGTCATTCTTTGGTCTGTGCTCATCACAGATAAGAATTTGAAAGCTCAACAGCCTTCAAGAATGTCCCTCAAATATATCCTTGACAAAATCTCTTGAGTAATTTTGCCAAGATTATGTATGTTATCAACTGAGAAGACAATTGAATTCTGGACAAAAGCCAATCCACCAGCATTAATTATTGGCTGTAGCCATTGCCCCTGGGTATGCTATGTGACAAGAATCCATGAGAAGAAGCCAAGTGTAAAGTGCAGCCTGAGGGTTGTGAGAAGGAAGGGTCTCTGTCCTGTTGGCAGAGTTTGAAGTTGCATGTTAATATGAGATGGTTTGGTGATACAGCGTTGCCTAAGCTTGCCCTGGCAAATCGGAGCATAAAGCACCCGACTCATGCAAATCCCTTTGGAATCAGTGAAGCACAAGTTATGGAGGTTTCTGGAAGTCTCTGTTTTATACATACTTCCAGGAAACACAGTTTTGATGCTATCTGAGTCTATGCAAAGGCAGGGATTAGTCACCAGGCCAAAGCTGACTGGAGCAAGATGCTAAGCTATTGATTGGAACTACGACTTCTTGATTGGGACAAATGGTGTTAAATTTGAAGTGACTTTGTATGTTTCAAGTATCACATGCATATAATGAATTCATATTAATAGCATTACTATGTATAATATAATCACACCAAAACCTACAGGTGTGTAAATATTAGCATGTGAGCAATTATCTGGAAGAGAGAACATTGGAAGTAATTCTTGAGCAAAAAATAAATCACTACAAAAATAAAACTATTTAAGTTGAGACCTAAGGAATATACGGAATCCTGATTCTTCACACATGTTTTTCTCTAAGAATTATAAAATACCAAATTTAAAAATCTAGTAGTCAGCATTTCAATGAATAATGGTTCATTACTTAAGAATAATTAAAGAGGGATAATTAAAGAGGAAATAAAATCCCATGAAAACATCATGTTTAAAAAAAACAACTCTGAAATAGAAAAACTATTCAGTACATCAAATTTGAAATTTTGAGATAGGAAATCTAATGGCCAAGTTGGAAAATGTATTGGTGCTTTGATGTTTGAGAAGGAAGTGATTTCCAATATAGAAAAATCACGTTACCACATTCAAGCACAATACATGGACCAGGGTTTTAAGTGGTTTTGATGAGGATGAAAGTCTGAGAAGAGGGAGCATAAAAGGAAGAGACATAAATGGTGGTAAAAAGGTTAGCACAATTTAAGCAATTAAAGTGATGGTAACTTTAATAGTGAAAATTGATTCATGTTAGGAGATGACCCATTGTCCAATGATATCTGTTTTTCTCTCATTCTCTCTTGGCTCTTGAATCCAAATCCAGTTGGACTGAGAGTAGAAAACATCACCACCTATTAACCCAGAAGCCTAGATTAGCCTAAATTAAGATTAGCCTAGAACAACATCTTAAACCTCCCTAGTGAAACAGAAACCTTCATGGAATGGCTGAATGAATACTGGGGAGCGGAAAGGTTCTTGAAGATATGAGGAAAGCAAATAAAAGTTATTTTGTGTTTCTAAGTGGCTAGAGTTTGTTCCATCAGGGCCCAACTCATTTTCTAAAATAGCTACATACTGGGCATTTACTATTATCTATTTCTATAAGGTTAGGGGCATTAGTCAATATTTAACTTCTCATTTTTATTTTATCTTACTTCAGAAATTGAAAGAGTCTCTGAGTTCAGGGCAAAAAGGTAGACTTAACTTAGTTCCTACACAAATAGCTCATGGTGAGAAATTAGGAATCCTCGGTTCTCGTCTGTGCCTGCCACAAAATATTCAGTGCAAACATCATTAAGTGTTTGAGCTCAAAAGTGCTTTGGTATGCTTACACGATATAAAAAGTTCCCAAAGTGAAAACACAAAACAAAACATAAGTGTATTTGAATACAGATAAATGATTCCCCCAAATCTAACAAGCCATTTGACTAACAAAATACCTGGCTCAAAAGCAGTTTAAAGAAATTAGAGCATGTTTTCTAGATATATCATTTCTTCTAAATATAGAATATATTGCAGTGTTCATAATAATTATGGAGAATTTCTATGTTAAATAAGATTTTATTATGCATAAAAGGATGTCCCAACAACATCCTCATAAACTCCATGTCCATTCACAAATAGTCTAAAGACAGAAGAACACTATGGGGTGTCTTCATAGACCGCATGAATGAAGCTGCTGTTAGAATTCTGATTTTTCTTGGTAAAACACAGGTTGTCTGCCTCAAAGAAACAGTGTTGCCAAACACTTATTCTTTAAAAACTAATTATCACAAGATTCCCTTCAACATCATTTGGGATAGTACAATATAAATTAATTAAACACCCAAATATTGGATATTCCTTTTGAAAATATATCCAAGATTAGATAAATGCAGACCTGAGCTTAATTATCTTTTTGTTTTTTAAAAAAAAGAGCATTGCAGATTTGTACCCATATTTTACTGTGTGTAATGCGCACCCATGGTTTTGGCCTAAACTTTCAGTAAAAAAAATCTTTTGTTTTACTTTTTTAATTCAGCTTTTAAAAAAATTTATACATAAGACATTTGTTTTTTGTATTGTAAAGGAATTTCATTATTTATGTTTGAACATATTGTGGTACAAGAAATTTTGGGTAACAAATAATTGCAAAACACAAAAACAGATACAAGTTATTTTAGGTACTACCCATGTATAATGTGTGTCCTTATTTTTCCCTCAAAAATTCGGGCAAAAAAATGTGCATTATACATGGCAAAATATAGTATTTTCTATTCTGTTCTACTCTATTCCATTTCTTTCCATTTCAGTCTATCACCCTGAAGAATTTATGAATTATCTGTTGGCCTCACTCAGTGAATTCCTTAACACTCCTGCAGTTGACAGTAATATGGCACATAATTTTGACTTTCAGCTCCAGAGTCCATTTAGATATTATTATAATTGATATATTTTGTCTGAGTTCTACCATGTTATATTATGTATATACATATTTCAATTTCAATCTCTGAAGTAAGATAAAATAAAAATGAGAAGTTAAATATTGACTAATGCCCCTAACCTTATAGAAATAGATAATAGTAAATGCCCAGTATGTAGCTATTTTAGAAAATGAGTTGGGCCCTGATGGAACAAACTCTAGCCACTTAGAAACACAAAATAACTTTTATTTGCTTTCCTCATATCTTCATGTATATATATGATCTGTTTTCTTTAACCATTTTTGACAATTCTTCAGATATTTTGGAAAGTCTGTATTTTCTAGTCTTCAAGTGTCAATTCAAATGTTACCTTCCAGAAAGGACACGTCTAACCTAGCTAAGACCCTCCATGACAGCATTCTCAACAGTTTCATTCCATTTTAAGTTTCTTCAGGGAAATATGTGTAAAATAATATCATATTACAAGTAGATTAGTACTACCTTAATATTTTGCTATGCTTTTGCTATTGTGTCTTAATTGTAATTCTAAACTTCTTTATTGCATTCAAACTCTTTTGAATGCAGAGATTTTTTAAGTCCATATGGTTCATGAAAGGGTGTTAAATTAATAGTCATAAAAATAGTAGCTCATGTTTACATAGCTCTTACTATGTGTTCTGCACTTTTCTTAGTGATTCTTTAAATCATTAACACATTTAGTTCTTACAACAGTAGTTACTACTATTGTTCTTATTCTATACATGAAAAGTTAAAGCTCAAATAAATACAGTATCTTTCTTGAGGTCACAGAGTGTGTAAACAGCAAAGCCAGAATTAGAACCAAGAGTTCTAATCTGGTCCAGAGTCAGTGCTTTCTATCACCATGCTCTACTGCTTACAGAGTGCTTATGAGAAATCAAACAATCTAATCATATATGTATATATATATATATATATATATGTGTGTGTGTGTGTGTCTGTGTGTATATATATATATATACATATATAATTTCATTACAGTATGATATGATTTGAGGTACATTTCTCCATGTGCTTCTACATCTAAGTTCTAGATTTACACTCTTGAATGAACCAAATGAGAACACAAACTGGGCATTAGTGAATCAGACAAGATGAATTAAGAAGTACATTTGCAAAAATATATAATTTCAGAGCCTATAATTTCTCCTGAGATAACACTACTCATTAACTAAGATCATATTTTAAATAATTTTTGAGAATCACAGCCAAGTTTTGTGCTTGTTGAATATTTGTATTTAAATGTTCTCTTCTATATGCAATGTATAGTGGATGTTAGGAAAAATATTTGTGAATTTAGAAGCATTCACGTGTTTAAATGTATACTTGCCAAAATAAACTTCTCAGACCAGGAATGACTATTTTATCATAAAAGAGATAATTATTCCTCTTGAGACATATTATTTTTAAACAAATATAAATTTCTTTTCTTTCCTACAGGGTATTAATTTCATATTTCAAAAGGAGAGAAAACAAGAGCTAAGTACAAATTTTAAGACAAATCCTGGAATTTTTTTTCATATTCTTGACTACAACTATATCATGAAACAAAAGTAATATTTTCTAAAGAAGAAACAAATGTTTAACAACAATAACTACAATTAGGAACTGCCGTTGAACCAGCATGCATGCGTAGTTCATCACTAAGAGCTATCTTTAGATCCCTTTGTTAGATAAGTCCATTCATGAGAGAAAATACATAATAGTCACCAGAATAGATACTGCATTAAGACTTACTGAATAATCACAAACAGATCTATTAGCAAGGCACTGGAATTTCATGAGGACATGAAGTACTACTTTTTAAAATTAAAAAAGACTAGTTTCTTACCCAAAGCGTATATACTATGTATAAAATACTATATATATTTCCTGCATAGAAATATATAATAATCACAGACTTTAAAAGAGAGATGTCAAAAACTGTCACAAGTGATTCAGAAGGACATTTTATTGTGATAAAAAGGTTGAGAAAGAGTTAAAAATCATTTAATGCTAAGAATGCCAAAGGATATATTTCCTTTGTGATTTTTATTTTCTCATGTCTTCTAGAATCAGCAGATATTCCATTTAAATCATCTAAAAATGTTACAAAATTCTATCAAAAATTTGGGAAATTTTTATTCATTGGAGAGGATTAGCAATTTAAATAGGAAACATATAACCTGAAAACCATAACTCTTGTAATTTCAAGGTTAGTAGTTTTTAGCATGAAATAGCAGTATTCAGTCCAGCACCTCAGTGAAATAAATAATAAGTTCATAGTGCCTCTATTAAAATGTGTCTATAAAATTCAAAAATGTTTCAAATCATGTCTCCAATGACACCAGAATACAGCACCGTTTCTACAATCTGCCACAACATAACACCAGTGAGGAGTGGCCAGAATTTCCCTGACCCACACAGACATTCACGTTTATTCAAAACTGACCCAAATAACATAATTTACCCACAGAAACAATTGCAGATATTCTAGAAGAAAGAATAATTCAAACAAAAGAGACCTGAGTTCTCGAAGACTAAAACCCCAAGTATTTTCCCTTTTAACTAAACTTACCTAAAATTTTTGAGTAGGTAGTAAAGATTCCCTCCTGGATCTAAATCCAATTACATATTTCCAGGCCCGCAATTGTTGCATTCCTTCATGTTTCCTCAAAAACAGATAGAATAAGTACATGCATTTGGAAAAATAGATATAAATCAATGCATAGATTGAGCATCATTACCCATGCTTGTCTTCTCGTCCTTGCCAGTCTTATGTCAGAGAAGAGGATGTTCTTCTGGGTCATTTTTTTTCTCCATCGGGAAATCAAGGCTTAAATTTCTTTAGCTCATGGTGGAGGAGGAACCCCAGCTAACAATTCTGAATAATTTCCTTAAAATTCCAGAACTTCTACTTGACCAGACTCATTACATAGAAAATAATAAATCCTTGTCTTCAACAAACTCCATTTCAAAGCAGTTGTTTTGGGGGGAAACAGATGAACAAACAAACAAAAATTACAGGCAGAACTGATGTTTGGGCAGAGAGGAAAAGAGATAATCTGAATTTAAATGGTACGTTTCCAAGAGCAAGAACACAGGCACGCCTTCTCATGCTCTTCCTGCTCCTCAGGCTGATACTGAGATGCGGATGGGACTCCTGCTTCCCAGTTAGTAGACTCTGGCCATGGAATTCTGTCCTCTGAATAAGGGTATGGGCTCCTAACCTCTGCATATTGAGGCGGTTTTCTCATTTCATTGTGAGTACTTTCACAGAATGGAACAGGATACATTTTAGCTCCGTGACTACATTTGATTTGGGGACCAGTGAGTTCACATTTCAAAAGAAAGACAAAACAGCTTACAGACAATTTTACCCTTATTGGAGACCATTTGGGACTCCCTACAAATCCCCTCCCGAAATAGCTGATACTGACCTACTTCCTTTTGGGACACACTTATTGTGGCCATTTTTATGGCACTTAATTGAGAGATCTTAAATTAGCAGTGCTGCTTGGCAACACGATGGCAACCCCCACCCCTCAACCTCCATCCTGACTTTTTCACTTTGACTTACCTACAGTGAAATTTTAAACTTTCAGAGAGAGTACAGATGGTTTTAAGATTCAGCATTTAATATTTGCAAAGAAAGAACACTCAATTCTAATTTATTCTTCTAGCACAAAAAACCCCTAAGTTTTTTGTGCTAAGCAATTCCATTTATAACTATGTGAAATGTCCCTGCCATTTCCTTCAGTCTCCATCCCAGCTGTTCTCATCGCCACCCACACTCCAAAATCCTCTCCCTGCATTCATTTTTGAATGTGCAGTAATCCAAGTAATGCTCAGCCTAACACCATAACATGATTGCCAAAAAGAGAAAGAGAGGGAGAGAGAAAAAAAAAAAAAGAGACAGGGAGGAAGGGAGGCAGGGAGGAAAGAAAGAAGGAATGGAGTCTGCACCTGACCTGTCATTGAAGAAATTGCTTTACTACATGTGACAAACCCTATTTTTAAAGGGACTTACATATACAAGTAATGTATGTTTCTCCAAAATATAGCATATCAAAAGAATTGTGAATCATTTACAAGATATTTATCATAGTATTGGCTCATTAATATAAGTTATTTAAAGCATCCAAAATGAGAGAATGTTTTATAATGTATTAGTATATGTAACAAAGATATACTAACATCCCATGTGGACAATAACATGGATTTGTGGATTATTTAATGACAAATAAATGTGCTAACAGTACGTTAGAGTGTTAAGTGTAAAAGCAGGTTTCAAAAATTGCATGGAGAACATGATCCCATTTTTTGCAAAGACAAAAATGTGTGTGTGCATGTGTAACAAGTGCAGAAGAGGTACCAAAATTTTTCTATAAAGGGCAAGATGGTAAGTGCCTTTCATTTTTTCTTTTTATACATTTTCTTCAATAATACATACTACTGTTATTGTAAACAAAACAAGGCAGTTCAAGTTGCTTTTACACATATCATTCAGTAGATGAAACTATGATCAGTTTCATTCAGTGCCGGTTGATTACTAGCCTACTGCGTATCCTCTCCAAACCCATCCTCCTATACTCTGCTTGGTGGTGCTGAAGTTCCTAGGATTCAAATACTCTTTCTCTTTTCCAGCTGGATTCCTGTTAGGTCCTACCTATAGGGGAACTAGAAGAGACTGAAAGACAACCATGGGGAAGGAACATGCCCTTTCTATTTGCTTATTTCTGTGGCTGTCATCATCCCAGCCCTGGCCTGCCACACTGTGGGCAACAGCAATTTCTTTCTCTCACTAGCTACCTTCAGCACTCCTTTGGTAATACCCTCATAAAGTAGGCAGTGTTCTCTTCCAGATACTACAGAGTCACCAGTACAACCATAAAGTTTGGGCAGGGACCAGAGCAAGAGAAGGCTCTGCAGCAAGTCCAGCCTTCAGGGCAAAGTGTCCTTCCACTTACAGAACCTCAGCTGCAGAGCTTAAGGTCCTAAGTGTCTGAGATGGAAGGGGCATGGCAAGAGATCTCCATGGACTGCAATAGGAAGGTCATAGTGTGGACCTCTAGAGTTTGGGGCAGATCTCTGTTCTCTGACATATTCTTTTCTTCTGTGGAGTCTTGTAGAGACTGAACTCCTGAGCTGCGATATGAAAATATTCATTCCACCTGAACTGGCCCTTGTGAAGTGGGGGTCAAATGGCTCACCAAGAAATGAGTTTGGGCAAGCGGTTAATTACCAAGTGCATAAGCTTTTAAAAGATGCATGTGAGACGGTGACTTGATCCCTTCATTTGTCCTTCATTATCCTTTTTTGACACCTACTGCTGCTTCATTGTCTCCTTTCCCTTGATCCAAGGGAGTTCCTGTGACTCAGAAAAACTGGAGCTTGATTTACAGATAGATGGTTAGAACTCAAGGAAGAAATAAAACTTTCACTTGGCCATTTTGAGCTCCTTATGGTACTGAACCAACACAAAGAAAGACATGGCTTCAGGGGCTGGGGAAATTAGTGTCCGTGCAGGTTTCTGAGGATTTAGATCCTTCATAAATAAAAATTTAGATAAGCCCAGTAATAAAGAAACCCAGTCAACTGAGGACAAATGGCACACCTTCAGACTGGCATATCCGCTATATAAGATGAATTAGATGGCGGCTCTATTACAAGTTAGACCTTCAAGTTTATCTCCAGGTAAAACTAACAAAATTTGAGAAGTAATTCACATCACCTAGAGGGGGATGCTATGACTCTTTCTACAGAGGAACACAATTGTTGGGACTCTGTATCTCCCATTATCCAGGAACAGTGGAGACCAAAGGATAATTGCACAACTGTATCATCTTTATAAGCAAGAGCATAGCTTTTGCTTTATGAAAGTTCAAAAATATGTAGAGGTGTGTATACATGCAGAGTAATAGAAGGGAGAACTATACCAGCTTATTAAGCTATTTCTACTCAGTTCCTAACTCTTTATTCTATACTCAGATGAGATTCTGAGATTTACATTTCCCCTCTGCTAGACTGTTTTTCTAGGTTCTTCTTGTGGGAGGCACTAGAGGGAGAATGGAAGTCAGGAGGGAGAAAGAACAGACTCCATCCTACCTGCCTGCTAGTCCTTCAGCATCTCTCCAGCAACAGACTTTTCCCCTGGCAGCAACAGAATCAGCCCCCCTACCAGATAACAGTGCATGACAAGCTGAGCCATCTCCCACATCAGTGGGCCCTCCTCCAGGGCTCTGATAAACCTTTCCCTCACCTTCCTGTGTTCTTCCAGACCTACAGGTATAGCTGCTTCCCACAGTTAATTTCTCTATTTCCTTGGTGTTCCTTTTCTACTACCTTTTCAGTCATTCCCCATGTTCAGTTCTTTCTGTTAAAATGATATGTGGTTTCTGATTTCCTGACTAGACTCTGATGATGATAGTTCGTATCAGGCACTGTGTTTTAGACATGTTGTTTTCCTTACCCCTCACAACAACCCTGTCAAGAATATGCTAGAATCCAGTGTATTGTGGCTAAAGAAAGGAAATTTAAGCTTTATTTCTCTCAGTTTAGCAATGGTTACAAAGAAAATGACTATCGAAACCTGGATTTAAACCCAGATCAGACTGACCCAAATATCCACTGATGAATGGAGAAATAAAGTGTAGTGTATCCACACAACAGAATATTATTCAGTAATAAAACAGAATGAAGTACTTATACTATTACAACAGAGATGAACTGGTGAAATCATTATGTGAGAGAAACCAGACAAAATAGGCAACATATTATTTGATTCCATTTATATGAAATATCCACATTAGGAAAATCTATATATGCATGAATATGTATATGAATATACTTGTGTATAAATTGCATAAAGATGCATAATGAATTTAACAAAAATATTACAAATGGATATATAAAAGTAGCAGGATTTGAGAAATGTTTTCATCTTTTCTTATAATTTGATATGTTGGGGGAAAGCCCCAGAAATCTAAATTCAGGATCGATGAAAAAGAACTGCCTTGTAGCCTCATTCAAATTCATAATAACTGTAATAGGAGAAACTCACATGCACAGGCAAAGCAGCTGCTCACTCCCAGCGGTGGCCTGCCAGGAAGAATCCACATCCCTCCCAGGACAGGGTCCCATTTTAAAAGGGGTTAATAGTAAAAGCATATGGTGGGTAGTGTCAACAATAACAAGAAGGGGAAGAAAGAAAGTCAGAAAAACAACATTAACAAAATGTATATTTAACCAAGTCTGGGAGCTCAAGCCAGACAGCACTTGGTAAATACTCTTTGAAGACAGTAATGCTCAAAGGTTGTGTTTGCTGTTGTGCTTGAAGTTTGCTTTGCGTGGGATCTAAGACAGCAGATGACCAGTAATCTCACTTGCCCTTTCTTTTTCTACTCTCTAAGGGCTCTGTATACACCTCCTTTCCCCTGCAACCTTGCCTGCCCCTGGCCATCTCCCAGCTCACTTGTTCTTCTACAGATGTCTGGGATGGTTAGGATTCAGCAGGTCACACCTTAGCCTGTCAGGACCTGGCGCCTCCTATGTCCAGCATTAGTTCATCGCTTCATTTCCCCTCCAAAGGGCCTAGTGACAAGTCTGCCCTGTTAAGACACAAATCCCAGTGAGCCCTAGGCAGCCAGCAGTTTCTCATTTGGTT